GCACTGAAACAGTACCTGAGGGTTCTGCTGTTCTGGGGTTCAAAAGCAGTGTCCTGGAGGAAAAGCTTCCCCACGACAGTCCTCGTCGACCGGAACTTTGCCCGTGACCAAATTCAGCCCATTGTCTTTCTGCATAAAGTTTTATTGGAACACAGCTGTGCTCCTTTGTTTACATATGTTCTGTGGCTGCTTTCATGCTATACCAGCAGAGTTGAGTGGCTGGGACAGGGATGGGATGATCTACAAAAGCTGGAACACTCCTCTCTGGCCGTTTAGAGAAAATGCGTCTGACCTCGATGGTAGGCCACTGCCGGGGTCCAGCCTCGGCAGGGTTCAGGGTCCCTGAAGGATGTACGGCGCAGGTGAATGAAGAGTCAGACACCTGATTGGATGCTGGAGAACAGCCAGCGTCTGTGGGACTGACTGAACTCGCACAGTTTGATTTAGGCTTTATTTTTATAGAGATTGTTATATAACATTAAAGCAACAGGTGCATAGTGTGATCAGTTAAGCAGAAAAAACCAATACAGAGATAACCAGGAAAAGTACAAGAATTTCCATAGTTTCAGTTATGTTAAACAAAAGTTGTTTTGACCAGGAGAGCCATTAATCAGACAATTTGAAATAGCTCTATGTACAGAGTTTGAATGTCTTATTGTTTATTAAAGGTCTAGAATTTGGCATGGGGCAAAAGGGTATGCTAGACCGAGCAGAGGTTAGGAAATTCATTATAATGCCTTTGTGATGTCTAACGTAGCTATCTATCTTTCTGTCCAAAATGTTTCTCTATGTACTGTGGACTCTAACTCCTTGGTAATTGTATCTATGTGCTTAGTTTGTGGTATCTAACAAGTTTTCCTGTTTCTTTGCTTGCTTAATTCTAATTAATATATATTCCTCTTCAAGGTAAAGGAGGGGCTGTTACTCCAACAACTTCTAGACATTCAGGGGCTATTTCATTAGGGGACTTTGTTCTCTGGTCAAGAAATTACTTTGTACAACTTCATTGGAATTATGTGAATCAATGAAGCTGAAATACAGGTGTCTAACAATCCCACCACCTTTTGGTCACCAAAACAAACTGGTAAGGAGAGATAGACAGGAAATCCAGCCACAGTTGCCTCTGCTTTGCAGATGCATCTCAACCATCCTGACCTTGTCAAGGGACGGCTGCTGGCCGGCTCCCGACAGGCCACTTAAAAATGGAATCAGTCATAGTGCCATTTTCCAAGATGCATTCGAGGAAGTCAACTTGCTACAGAAGATTATCTCCTAGATTCTGTCCCAGCTCTTCCATCCAGGAAAAGTCAGAATAGTGTCTGGCATCACCCTCAGAAATCAACAGTTATATGCTGTAACACACTGATAGGGTCATTTTCGCTACTTTTAAAAATTTAGTACTTACCATTTCTCTTTAAATTTTCAGTTTTACAGAAATTGTAATAATCTGCTTATCAAGGAAATTTAATGTAGGACACTGTGCCTTAACTTGCCGGCTGAACACGCAGAATGCTGCAGTCCCTGTTGTCCAATGGACTCACACAGCCACGACTGTTTAAATGCTGCTGCCAGTTGAGAACACTGTATAGCTTTCTCTGTGCTAAGTCTTTTCTTTTTTAGAACGTTCTCAGCAGAAGCAGATTCTTGTGCATTTCCCTCCCTTGCTTCCTCATAAAAACGGAGCCGCTCGTGCTGGGTGGGGCAGGGGTGCAGGTCACACAGGAGGGTGCCTGACCCAGTCTTTCCACCACCTTCTCTCCTCAGCCAGTCGGCGCCTCCTCCTGAAGGAGGTCCCCCTGGTTCCGCTGCTGCAACACCGGCCCATCCCTTTGAACCAGTTAGTGACTATATCCTGCGAGAGCCCAGACACTGTCCCCTGCTCACACACTCCGCTGCAGAGGACCTCCTCGCCCTCTTTGTGCTGCCTCAGCATCGGAGCTGCTGATGGGTCTCTCAGGACACTGGGAACCCTCTGCTTTGTAATTCACAATGGGTGCCTCCCAAGTGCCCGGATGTGGCCAGAGAGCTTGGCAAATACCCTGCTTTCCTTCTCCCCGTGGGTCACTGAGCTTTGTTCCGGGAGGTCAAGTGGACTGAATCGCTGGCTGTGTGACTGCAAGTGCGGATTTGTGCCCATGCAGAATGGCTCCCTCTTGGGACCTTCAGAACTGTGGGAACCACAGTCTGGGATGCAGAGGTTTCCCGGAAGGGTTTTGAGTGTGGGTGTGCGTGGTTTCTAGGGTGTCAGCTCCTGGGCAGCAGTGAGCATGTGGTTTCACACGTGCAGCCTCTGAACACACAGCCCGGGCCGTGGCCTGCGGGGGGAAGGAAAACCGCGCTGATCCACATCACGCTGCCCCCTGGTCGGCCAGGCTGGAACCGAGTGACTCCCCTTAGCTTTTCATGGTTTGCTTTTCAGGAAAACTTTCTTTGCTAATCAAGGAACACATGGGGATAGGTAATTACATGTCATGCCTGTTAACTCTGTTTGCTTAAAATGTTTTTTAAATCATTCCATTTGAGAATTTTGAGAAACCTTTTTTTGCCATTATTTGCTGAGAAAGCTGCATTTCCTGGTGAGGTTGTGAGACCGTGTGAGGAGGGAACACAGGCTTTCTCTCGGCCCCACGCCCTCCTGCGGGCCAGACTCCAGCCCGGCAGCCACTGTCTTTTAGCCGCCAGACAGTCGGCCTCCAACCCCTGCTGGGTCCCCTGCGCCTTCCTCTGTGTGGGGAAGTGATAGGAACAAACTGGTCCGGTGGATATGGGGACAAGTCATGGCCTGAACACACCACGTTGAAGAATCTGGGGCTGTTCTGTTGTAATGAAGACCCACTGAGGGTTTTGGACCCTCAGGCTGATACCTGAACTGTCCTACGGGAGCTTCTCTGGCCGTAATGCCTGGACTGGGTGGATGAGGAGGTCTCGGCGGACTGTGCCAGGGCACAGAGTGGAGGACGCGGTGGCCTTCGCGTCCCTCCCCTTTGCATCCCCGCTGCGGGCCTGGGTTTTAAACAGTGAAGCTTTGCAGCATTCCAGCATAGACTCCTGGTCTGTTTGGAGTTGCCTCTCATTTCAGTGACCAAAAGAAAACAATACAACAACAAAAATGAACTTGGTGAATTTTAAAAACTTTCACTATCGACTGACCAATTACCGTGGAATGTGAGGAAGCAAAATGACTGAATTCTGAGGAGTCGGGTGTTTAGCCGCGTGTGGCATTTCCAGCAGGTCCAGGGCGGCTAGAGGGGGACCCCCCACACACCCACTCCTGCACCACCCCTGGCCGTGTCGGGGTGAAGAAAACGGGAGCCTGTGGGAAGCGTGTGTGCCGCTCGGGACAGGAGCTGGTCACTGGTCTTGGTGTTCCTTTCGCGTGGCCTCGGTTTCTAACAGGACACGCTGCTGCTGGTTTCATTGTCCACGCGGGTGCGGTGACGTGGGCTCTGAGGAAACAGCCCTGTTTTCCCATGTCTCTTACTCTCAAGGCTCATATTTTATTCCAGAAAAACTTCTGGCTGATCCTGTTCAAAGGGATGTTTCATAAGTGTGGGGCTGTCCTGGGTTTTGAGCCTAAACTTAACTTCTGCGACGTTGTCCACTTCACCCAGAGAAGCGCGGACCCGGTGGCTCCGACTGGTGGGAACACTGGGTCATTTACTCTTCTGTGTAGCAAGTACGAGTTAAGTGCCGTGTGTACCAGACACGGTGCCGCGTGTGGGGGATGCAGTGAGGAGGAGGAGGGCACGGCCGTGCGGGGCAGACGCTGCCAGGAGAGTTTGTGCAGTGGAGTGTGGAAGCTTCCCAGCCCCAAAGATGCTGAAGATGCTTCTGAAGATCTGGAGATGTGGTGGGTCCTTTGACCTTGTAAGATCCTGAAAGGAGAGTGTGTGTGTGTGTGTGTGTGTGTGTGTGTGTGTGTGTGTGTGTGTGTGAGAAAGAGGAGGAGGAGAGAAAATTAAAGATCCAAAAGCACAATGTGCCCTGGCTGGTGTAGCTCAGTGGATTGAGCGCGGGCCTGCGAACCAAAGGATCATGGTTTGATTCCCAGTCAGGGCACATGCCTGGGTTGCAGGCCAGTTCCCAGCAGTGGACACATGAGAGGCAACCATACACTGATGTTTCTCTCCCTGTCTCCTCCCCTTCCCCTCTAAAGATAAATAAATAAAATATTTTAATAATAATAATAATATAAACAATGTGAGTTCAAAAACCTAATAGCCCTACGGGATTCAGAAAAAAATCCATAAGCCTACAGAATAATAAACTCAATATGAATAATAGTCACAGTGTGAGTTTTTTAGTTTACCAGAAAGCTAGGGATATTTCTGGTTGGAATGGGGGCTTCAGCTTTCTGTTAAGTTGGAACCTACCTTTTAGTTTTATCTTTTATATCCCTGTAGTTCCTAGTAATGAAAATCCCTGCCGTGCTGGAGAGGGGTTCCTACCACGTTAGAGTCAGTAAAGAAGCGGGTTGAGCCAGGGCTCCATGTTGGATCCTGAATTCACGGGAGGGTGCGGAAGACGCTGCAGTCAGGAGTGCGGGGCAGGAGTTCTGAGCAGGGTTCGCCCTTGGCAGGGACTCCCTACGGTCAGCCTCAGGGGTGGCCATGACACCGGCACATGCATTGCTGATTTTCTTGGAACAGTCTATCATTCTAAACCTTATATTGTCACTCCTAAGGACCTACAGAGCTTAGATGCCACACAAGTCTCCTTTACTTTATTTCACTGAAGTTAAAAGTAACAGTATCAGAGCGAGTGGAACACTGTCAATTTTCCTGATACCTAATCCTAATAGAAAACATTGTATCCAAGGAAGAAATGTACCAATGTGGTGTATATAGGGAGACAGGAGGGGTGGGGAGAAAGGCAATGCTTCCTCTATTTCTGTATCATTGTGTTTTTGCATTCTGTAAACACTTTCTTTTATCTTAAGGATTTGCTAGATAAGGCTTGTAAAGTTTTCCTGGTAAGTAATGGTCACTGTCCTCTTTCAGCAGATTTCTGCACACGGCAGATCTTCTTCCAACATAAATGGTGGACCAGAACTTGATCGCTGCATGAGTCCTGAAGGTAGTGCTCTATCTGAGGGTTACTTTTGTATAGGAGGTCAACCCGGTGGATGTGGGAAGCCACCGCAGATCCACTTGTGCTAAATTATCTTCCTGAACAGGAATGTGGTCATGGCACCAGTTGAGCCCTAGTGGGGTGTTAATTAAGCTGTTCCAATTTCAAAGTGCAGACTTGAGCTTCCTTTATTTTCCCTTCGTGGCAATTTGCTCCCAATTCCTGAATGCAGCCTCTCCCTTCTCTCAACGAGTTAACAGAAGTGTTTCTCTCTATGCCGTCTGCAATGTACTGCAATACATGGTGAAAAGTAGTTGTTCTTGACTGCTTCCTCCTCCTGTCCTCACCCCCCCCACCACCAGTCTGGGAAGACTTTGAGTGAGGAATTAGTTTTAACGAGGTGCCCTTGCTAGCTAGCATTTTCTTTACTGGAAAATCTGGAGGGAGGAATCTTGAGAAAATTTTCTAAGATTAAATCCCAATATCATACCCTTCTTCCTTCTCAACTTTGACCAAAAAAAGTTTAAAGTTTTATTTAGAATTCTTTTTTTACCCAAAGTTAATCACTTACTTTAGGTGGTAATTCAGGGATTTGTCAATGTTTATTGATTATGTTGGTTTCTGACTCTAACCAGTAAATTCAAGAGAAAATCGATGATTCGGCTATTCTAGCAGACAATACGCTCAGAGACCTTCCTTGGTTTTAGTATAGATTTAGAAATAAATGCATTGCAACTTGTTATTTGACAAGCATGTAGGAATCGAGATGAAATGTTGATGTGTTCTTTTGAGTGTGCATTTATCCTTTTTTTTTTTGTAGGAGTGAATGGAAACAGGTGCTCTGAATCCTCGACACTTCTTGAGAAATATAAAATCGGAAAGGTTATTGGTGATGGCAATTTTGCAGTCGTCAAAGAGTGTGTAGACAGGTGAGTGGACAGTGAAGGGGATCATGTTCCCACCTGCATGTGCATTTCTCCTCGGAGCGTACTTTCCCCCGAATGAACAAAAAGCCTTCTGAGACAGCCTCCCCTTGGGACCACCTACTTTGCCTGTGTACAGGCAGTGTGACAGGGAAACCGTGTGTGTGCAAACAGAGTGTGGACCTGCTTTGTGTTTGGGCTGAGCAATTTATCAGATCTCTTCCATAAGCCAGAGAAAAATGGGAAATAAGGTTTATCTTTTAAAAAATATCCTATTTCATTTATCTGTACCAGACACTGTTCTCAGTGTATTAACTCATTTAATCCCCAAATAACCTTCTCGTTGATACTTAATGGCATGTCTCAGTAGTTCTGGATATGGGAGCTCTGACTACATTTAAGAACAGTATCTTAAACTGTTGCCTATCTTAAAATTACATCTATGTTTTGTCCAGCTTTACGTTAAGGTCCTAAATTCTCAGTGGTCAGAAATCCATTCTGTTAAATTTCAGGCCTTTTATAAACAGTATTAAATCTGGAAAAGACTCTGAAATAAAGTCTTTGTGTTCCTATGCTGCTTTCCTACCTGATCTAAGTGGTCATTTTTTTAATGTTGTGGGAGAGTTTCCACAAGGAAACTCTAGTAACTACTAGTTTTCCCCTTCTGCTACATCTGCAGTGAGGCCTTATGGTCCCTTGTATTGGTGCACAAAGTCGCTGCCTGTCCTCTAGGCCAGTTCCCGCCTCTTAGGGCCTGGGCCAGGCAGCAGGAGGCGAGCGGCAGCGGAGGCCAGCGGGCACTTCGCTTGCATTACTGCCTGAGCTCCGCCTCCTGCCCGTCCCTCCATCCTCCCCGCACCCTGCCGTGGAAAAGTTGTCTTCCACGGAACCGGTCCCTGGTGCTGAAAAGGCTGGGCACCGCTGCTCCAAGCCTTCTATAGACTTTGCTCTGCTATGCAGACTACTACCCAAGTAACAAAGTAAGCATCTGCATTATGACTTCTAAAGACTCGTTAGAAGTCTGAGGCAGGGTTTGGTTTATGTTACGGGGAAGCAATTTAAATACAAGTTACGCTTCCAAGGCGGCCTCCTCCGTGTGTACCATGACCGCCCGGCAGAAGCAGCTGAACTTGAGAGAGCTAACGTAGTCCAAGCGCACTGCAGTGTTCTGTGCTGAACTGTTTCCTGTACTCAGATAATTTTTGGCACATTCAGATTACAATATGCTAAAGGTGATTAAATGTTAAGTAACAACATCGAGACGCTCATGCCTGAGACATTGATCTCTTTAGTACCAGAATCAGGCTTTGAAGGGTCCAGCTACGACCGCAGCAGATGGGGTTTGGCTTCAGAAACAGACACTGAAAGTCCCGTGACTTTTGAGTTTTGTGTGATACACTAGTTAGGACCTAATAGATTAATGTGAATATCTACCAATAGTGGGAAGTTTTCAGTAATGTTGATTCCTCTTCCCTGACTTTATTCTGCCTCCCGAGAGAACTCTTTGGGGATTTAAGTGTGGGAAACAGTTTTTTGTCTGTGTCTGACGCAACAGAGTTTAAGTACCTTTAATATGTAAGTTACTTAATAATATTATAATTACTAATATTTATAAAAGGAGATGAATGGTGTGGCTTTGGATTTCTTTTCCTTTGGGGGGGGCACCTTTCTCCCTGACGCCACTCAGCCCGTTCTCGGACGTGCGGTCGAGGAGGGGGCCGGTCCTCCTTCCCTGGGTCCTCTGTGCTGGAGAGGGAATCGGGGTGACGCCGCTGCCTTTGACTCCTGTCTTTAATGGCCTTCCTCTGGGCGTTCCATAGGTCCACTGGGAAGGAGTTTGCCCTGAAGATCATAGACAAAGCGAAATGCTGCGGAAAGGTATGGTATCTGCTCTGTGAAAGGACCTGCAGAACCTCGTGAGATGTTTGTCATGCTGAAGGGGTTTAGTAGGGGTTCAGGTGACGAGGCCGTAGCAGGAGCGCCCTCGGATCACAGAGGGACACTGCAAAGCTTCCCACCACACCCTGCACCCCTCGCCATTTATCAGAAACCTTAATCCTGAACAGTACATTGATTTGACCTTGGTTTTCACTATCAAAAAATATAAATTCTTTTCTCTGGGAGGTACGTGCTTCGAAATAAAACGCAGCAACACACAGAAGATGGCAAGAGCTGTGAGGGGTCCGAGGCCTCACCCTACCTTCAGCCTAATGGGGTAGCCTTCCTGCTGTGCAGCTGCTGGCCCAGAGGAAAAAACCGTGATTACCTGTGGCACAGAGGTGGCCCGGGTGCCGTGTTTGCACTGGCTCCCCACCGGGAGTGTTACAGAGGGGCCCAGCTGGGTGTGTGCACACAGCTGGGTCTGTGTCCCAGCAGGGGCTCCCCGCGCTTAGGAAACCCCCAGTCTTACGAGGGCAGCCAGGAAACCTAACCAACCCTTGTCCCAGAGGAGAACATTCCCTTTGCTGTCATGGCCAGGGAACAAATCCGCCCTCTGCCCCTGAGGGAGACCCTGTCTAGGTCCCAGGGGTGTTTATTATACAGACATTCTTGAAAAGATAGTTTGTAACAAAAGCTGTGCAGAAACACTAGGAACATTTGTCTCTACAACCAGATGAATTTTTTCTTCTCTCCCACGCTCAAGCTGGAGCTGGTCATGCTGTTAGGGTGCTGATATTTTTTAAGTCATTTTTATTAAATTTTTTTTGGGGTGCCATTGGTTAATAAGATCATACAGGTTTCCAAGTGTACATGTCTATGATACCTCATCTGTACGTTGCACTGTGTACCCACCACCTAAAGTCAAACCATCCAGATGTTTTACCTGGGTTCGAAAAGATGCATCTGTCTTCTGTACCAGTGGCGACCGAGACCTTGTCAGACTCTAGTAGCCTAGCAGTTCGCAGACCAGGCTGCAGAGCTCGCCCCGGCACCCAGTGCTGGGGCCACCAGCCACATGTGGCCGCTAAATTCTTGCGGGGTGGCTGTTCTGAAACAGAATCTACTCCAAGTGTAGGAATACGTAGCAGATTTGGAGACTTGGTACTAAAAAAGAATGTAAGATATCTCAGTATTTTTTGTGTTCGATTGCAGGTTGAAATGATAACATTTTTACATACTCGGTTAAATAATATTAATCTTACTTGCTTTATATGTTTTCAATTTTTAGTAAATTTAGAGTGAATGCGTGAGCCATAGTTATAATTCTGTTGACTGATGCTGTTCCAGAGCTGCGTTGTATAAAGTTTAATCTTTGCCCTGCCTTTTTTTACCATGTGACTGCGGAAAAGTTATTTAACACCTCTGTCCCTCTGTTTCTCTTCCAAAAACGTGGCTATTAATAGTACATTAGACAAGATCATTGTGGGGACTGATTGGACTAAGGCATGGAAAACAGGTAGAAAAGTACCAGAAATAGTAAGAATGTAACACATGACCGGTTAATGGTATCAATATGCCTGAAGAATTGAGAATTTGTAATTAGGAGGGTTTTATGTGATAGTAGCGATGTTATATTCACGGCACTCCTAAACTAGTCTTCATCAGACATCTACAAATTTGTTTATTTTTAACAGAAAACTTAAAGTTTTGTGGGAAAGTTTTAGAAAAATCTCCTCAGAACCCCAGAATGGAAAGTCCAAGAGGCAAATTTTGGACTTTGTCGTAGGTTTTGTCACAGGTTTTGTTTCCCGCACTGCGACCACTGTCGAAGCTGCATAGAGCACCCGCTTTTCCTCGAATAACCGAGGTTTTTCTGAACTTTAGTTCTGCGTGCTTTTACTTGCTGCTCTCACAGTAACGGTGAATTTTTCAGCTCCAGCCTTCCCCCAGGTGTGAGGAAGTGGTACTCTGTGTCCGGTGTGTGTGGCTGAAGCAGAATGTGTCCTATTCGGAGCCCACATTCTAAGCAATTGTATTATTTTTTTCAAAAAAGTAAACAAATTGCTGTGGTAAAGGTATTGTTTACCTGGTTAAAATTTAAGCAGCTGTTTTAGTCATTGGAAAAAATCTTTCTATGCAGACAAAGCAGTCTCCAGCGCACTAAGTGCTGAGGCAAAGGGAGAGGTTTCCGCCCCGGGTCTTGTCTTCCTGTCACTGGGTGTCATTCTGTTCCTATAAATTGTGGTCCTGTACTCACGTCTGTCCTCACAATGTTGGAACACGTGTTTCCACACTGACACTATAAATTGTAATCGCAAAACTCGATTTGTTGCAAATAAGTTGATTTTCCCATTAGATTTTATTTCTAGAAAAACGAGTAGGGAATTTGTTTTTTTAAAATAAAATTTAGAGGGAGGCATTCAGCTGCTATTCTGGGTACAGCTGGTCACATCTACTTCATGGGTTGTGCACAGAAAATTAATAATGCCGGAAATAATATCCACCCTCTGTTAAACCATAATCTCTCCAGGCTTAGACACATAGGGACTCTGTACATCACTTTCAATGACTTGCAAAACAGATGTACCCATTTCACAGAAACAGGTTCAGTTCTATAGCTTCCCACGAGTCACACAGAGGCCGAGCAGGGATTGGAGTTTCGGGCTAGGTGGTTGTTACTCAGCATATACCTTGGCCAATCCACCACGCAGTTAAATTTATTCATTTGCTCCTGTAATAACAACCTGGGGGAAAAAGTTCTTAAGCTCTCTGATCTTCTCTTTGCTTCTCTGTAATACACATGAATATTATTAGATAATTTTACTCATTTACCTAAAATCTGATATGTGTGCAAGATGCAAAGAGTGTTATGAGGTCTGGGGAGAAGCATGTGAGAGAGAAGCAGCCGATCCATGACGACGCCGCAGAACAAGAAGCCTTTTGCTGGACTTCAGTGGGCAGCCGGGTTCCCACAGGAAGCATCGAGAGGACAGTGTGCCAGCCAGAGGACATGCCCAGAGCACAGAGCACACATGGGGTCTTCTGAGCAGGAGGTGATTGCAAGCTTTGCCTTGGGGCCAGGTTTACGGGGGCCGTTGAGAAGGCTGCGGTGTTTGTAAATTCAAGAATTCTTCCACGTCTAATATTATGAATAATATTCCTTCTACATGGATATTCGTTGATTCACACAGTGTCCGAAGCTCTGAGCTTTCCGTCACAGAGCTTAGAAGTGGTCCTTCCCGCTCTTCCCACAGCGTGACATTCATTATCCTTCTGGTAGGAGCCCAGACAGGACGTAAATGCGAATGAACGTTGTAGTAGTTTCCTAAGGGTGTTGGAGCAAGTTAGCACAACCTTGGTGGCTGACTTCAGCAGAAACTTACCCCTCACAGTTCTGGAGGCCAGAAGCTTGAGATCCGCGCTCCCTCTGGAGGCTCCGCAAGTGCCGGGTCCTTGCTTCTAACTAGACAGCTTCTGGGGGCAGATGGTGGTCCTTGGCTTCTGGACACATCCCTTCACCTCTGCTCCATCTTCATGTCACTTTGTCTTCAGTGGGGAAATCTCCCTGCCTCTCATCTCAGAGGGACAGTGGTGATGGCACCTGATACCCAGAGTTTTCTCTGCAGCATCTTTGTTCACAGGGGTAAGACCTTTCCCCCCAAGTAGGACAATATTTACAAGTTCCAAAGACCCGATCTATTTGGTAGCCATTATTCGATCTCCAGCATATCTCTGCCAGACATGCCACACTGTGCTTCCCACGTTTTATCTGACTGTGTTATCCTCAGCAAGGTGCAGTGAGCAATAGAGATACCATGGAGATATTGGCTGTCAAGCCAGTGATGGTCAAGAGCGGTGCGCATGTGTTGACTCATCCACTCAGGCACTCCAGGGCTCCCTGTTCTAGTGACTGGAGGGCAAGGTAAACACAAATCTCCAGGACAGCCGAATGAGAGCTGGGATGGACAAGCATGGAGGGCAGTGGGAGCAAATAAGAGGCGCACCTAACCCAGCCAGGGTTGAGCAGGGGAGGCTGTTTAGAGAAGGCGAGATCTGATCGGTCCTGAGGAATGAACAGGAATTCACCAAGAAGTGGGGAAGGAACGTCCCAGACAGAGAAACTACCTGTGCAGATACCTAGAGGTCTGGGTGAGAGGTTGCACTGCGGAGAGGAATGAGTGGATGGATTCAGAAGCTGTTGAGAAGGTAGACTGGGCAGGGATGGGTGATGGATGGGCTGCCCTGGAGGATGAGGGCGGGCGGGTCAGGGGGGGTTCCTGTCTGCTCTGGGCAGCCAGGTTCACGCAGGGAGACCCGCACGGGAGGACAGGGCTGGTTTATGGGGCTGGGAAGCGTGCAGACAAGATGGTTAGTTTGGTTTGGGAGAGTTGTTTATTCCCTAATCTCCCTCCCTTCCTCCCTCCCTCCCTCCCTTCTTCCCCTTTGCTCCTCCTCCTTTTGTCTATCTCTGTCTTTTTTGTAGGATAAAAAGCACCCTGGCTAAAGATAAGGGGGTATCCTTTGCCAAGTTAGCAGTTTTCTTTGTCACTCACTCTCCCGCATAACCCTGGAACAGAGCCATCCGGTGATTCATATGTAAATTGTTTGGAGTCAAAACCCTGAATCACTTAACATAAATCATGGTAGATGCTCAGATAATGTAAGTTCAGTGCAGTTCACAAAGAAAGTGATGTTTACGTTGTATTTAGAAATATTCTCCTGGAAAAATCTAATCTAGAGAGTATTTTTATGCATTAGAAGCTCAGATTACATAAAGGTCCCTAAGAATCAGGAAGATAACGTTTGTAAAGATTTTCAGGCATGGCTTTTGTTTTGCGTGTGATGGTGATTAGTTCCTTCATGGACAATTGGACAGGCATAGTCACAGGGTGGGGACAAGGGCCAACAGCTGGCTTCCGCGCAGCCCAACAGCAACAGGTGCTGTGTGCTCAGAGTGCCAGGTGTGGTGGAGTGGGACTCAGTGAGCTGAGATGGTGAACAGTGAAGGAGGAGACACTGCCTATCTGTGTGCGATGCCCCGAGTCCTCAGGAAAGTTCCATTCTGCGTCCCAGAGGACTTCCTGCTGTGCCTTCTATTGGAAAGGACACCTTTGGGGAGGTGTAACCTCCTCAGGTGGCAGACCTATTCTAAGTCCAGTCTGAGGGAGTTCCTGGGTGCCAGTGATAAGGATATTTTACCAACAGTCACTCTGCGTTAGCATTACGAACAGGTAGATTTAGAGACTTCCAACTTGGGGAGAGCGGGTGGGAGAACTGAAGTGATAAGTCCATCTACGTTAAAAAGTGCCTCTTTTGGCACAGTGGGAGTGACTGCTGTCACCTTGGCTTCTTGGGGAGTGAAATAAGTTCAGTGGCTTGCCTTTCCATGTCCACACAAGTCCAGCTAACTGCTCTTCGGTGTGATTAACGGCTTTGCCGGGCACCCGCCCATGTTACAGAGGCTTTGAAATAAGTGTGCAAGCGTGGAGTGTTTGTGGGGCCTTTGTCCCTGTGACCACGAGGGGACGACTGGACAGCTGTGTCCCTAGGGAGGCCCCAGGGGGCTGTTTGCTGCTTGTGAGGCTGCTGCTCTGTGACTCAAAGAGACCAGAGACGGGGCGGCCCTGTCCCCAGCCTCCCAGATGAGGTGTGTTTGGTTCTGAGAAACACCGTTTTTTTCCAGGGGATTTTGAAGCCTTTGCTGAGTCCTAAGCTGGGCAAAGACTTCCCAGCCCTGCTCATTAAGGGACAGATTGTCTTTCCTGCATGAAGACTGGTGTGGCTCTGCCTCACCGCCCAGCTCCTCATGATACAGCCTCTAGTTCCTTTTCTTTTCAAAGAATTTAAAATAGGTTCAGCTTTGCAGCTATCATTTTCATTTGGAGGAACTCCAGCTGACTTTTACCAAAGCAGTCCCCTTGGAAAGGGGATACTGGGCAGCACAAAGAAAAGTGGGCTTGGATGCTGTGAACCTTAGGTTTGCATTCTGCCTCAAAGGACAGTTCTGAGGATGGAGCATGAGGACGTTACAGGAGCCCCTGCGCAGCAGTGGACCAAAGAGTGACTGGATTCCCAGTCGGTGCTGGTTCTTTTCTCTCCCCTGCCTCTGACTAGCATTGGCACTGTCGTCTGCCATCATTCATTGAGTGACGACTGGGACAAGCACAGTGCGTTCAGTGCTCAGGAAACAGCCCACCCTGTGCAGGCACTTGCAACGGAGTTTCTCTGCGTGTAACTTACTGTCATTGCTTGTACTGCCAGCCATCATCAAAGAGCATTTGCGATGGCTTACAGTAAAAATACATGTACGCAAGCATGCATGACAACAAGAGAAGAACCATAAAAAAGTGTCTTGAACTAGAGATAATGAAGTCCCCCCTGCAGCAGAACATTACACTTAGTTCTGAAATTCAGGATCGCAAAGGCAAAGGGAAAGCATAAGGGACACACACACACACACACACACACACACACACACACACACACACTGGTATGTGCATATGTGTGATTCAGGTAGCAAATGAGGACTCTCATAAGGTCAGTTTTATATAAGACATATATTTGAATATCTGGAATGTGTCAGATGGCAATTAGCTAATCTTACAGAGGATACCCTACATTCAAAATAATTTATTATTACAGTTGATGAGGGTTGGCACATGTGACAATATCGAGAGACACTTTTCGTGTCTCAGGGTAAAATGATGCGATGGAGGTTCGTGAGCTGTGGTTGACGATTTGAGAGTAACCGCTTCGTGCTGCGAGTGAGCGTTTGGCTGCAGTGCTGATGCCACCTGCACGGCTCACCGGGGCTGGCAGGCAGCGGGTATTTTCGGAGGAGAAGATGAGACTGTGCGACTGTGGTCCTCACAGCACTGTGTGTTTCCTGGTTTCTGGAGTACAAGGTGGTGACATACATCCTCTAGGGACTGATTTCATCGCTAGTCACAGAGAAAGAAAGTTGGTTTTTGGTTTTCAGGAATTTCAATGTAAATTTCAAATTCATATTAGTACTGGTTTAAAAACAACAAACACATTTAAGAGTTGGGCAACTCTTATGCCAAGGGCATGCCAAGTTTCCGTGTGTGCCTGGTCTTGTTTCTGGACTACCCCGAAGTCAAAGCATGGCTCCGAGCAGCATCACACAGCGCAGCTCAGTGTGCCGAAGTGCTCGTAGCTCGGACCTCTTAAGGTGCGGGAAGTAATGAAGAGGCCAGAAGGCAGCCTGTTGTTATGTGCCAGGGCAGAACCACTGAGCCCTTCAGAGCGATGCTTTGAAGGGTGCTTGTTTCTCTTTGTGAGTGACAATGAGATGGCACGCTGACTTGTCCTGTCCCCACGGAAACCAACGAGGCCGGGGTTTGGTTAGTCTCTGCACCCAGGGAGGTGCCTCCCCGAGCGTCGGGTCTGTGGACTGTGTCGTTGCCCTGAACACAGGGCTGGATGGAGGCTTCTGTGATGTCTGATCCAGCTCTCTCCCCGCTTGCTCCGCAGGAGCACCTGATTGAGAACGAAGTGTCCATCCTGCGCCGGGTGAAACACCCGAACATCATCATGCTGGTTGAGGAGATGGAAACGGCCACTGAGCTCTTTCTGGTGATGGAACTGGTCAAAGTAAGAGGACGGAGAGATTTCCTTGGTGCCAAATCCCACAACGTAACTGTAGTCTTGAAGGACCTAATCAGAAAAGGGTTTTACCACCTTGAAACTTTATTCATAATCATCCATTGTAGTGGCATGTTTTTTTTATCTCCTTTAGGCTGCCGAACCTTCTTTCCTAACTTCAGGGGACGGCCATGGTTGACATTTTGATGTGTTCTTGTGCATCCTGTAGGGCGGAGACCTCTTTGATGCAATCACCTCTTCAACCAAGTACACCGAGCGCGACGGCAGTGCCATGGTGCACAACCTGGCCAACGCCCTCAGGTACCTCCACGGCCTCAGCATCGTGCACAGAGACATCAAGCCGGAGAACCTCCTGGTACGTCCCCCCAGCTTTTGCTGTTCCTGCTCGTGCCTCTCCTCCTTTGAAAGGACCATAGTCATGTGCAAACAGTTGTGTTTTACAGTCCAGATCAGTCCTGAGGGCTGACAGAGTTTAAATTTCAAAAATCCGTCCGATGCAAGTCCACGACCACCACATATCAGTGAATTTCTTCAGTTGATCTGCATTTCTGCCATTGGTGTTTACCAGGCATTAGAAAATGTGTTTTCACATACATTTTGTTGATGGTACTGTCTGAAGAAAGGTAAGCAGGGAAATTATTTTGAGGCAGAGTAATCTGAAGAGTAAATAGAGGCAGAGTCAGCACATGAACGTTCATTGAAGTGCTGGACATCACGTTGGACATCTAGTGCCTGCATCTCAGGTTTACAGATGCGGAAAGTGAGACCCAGAGATGCCCATTTTTCTTTCTTACAAGTCTTGTTTGCCCCATTGTTCTACAGGAGAAAGTCTCATACTATGGCTCTCAAAGTGCTGTATAATCTGGCCCCAATTTACCTTTCCAGCCTCTCCTCTGGTACCAATCCCTGCCCACCCACCCAGCTAGGTGGCAATTGCCTTTAAGCCACATGTAGCACACCTTCCTGGGGGCCTCAATAACTGAACAGAGCTTGCTGATTGGGCCCATCCTTGTGTCTGCATTGTAGAGGAATTTTAGAGATGCCGACTGGGGCGTTGTATGTGCACCCCACATCCCAACCCCGCAGACATACACAAGACAGCTGGCTTATCTGGTCCTGCCTTTCGGGGCGTCATCACTGTTTGGGAGGTGGACTGTCTGAGTCTTCGTGTCATGTTAGTCCCACTGCGGGTTTCCTGTGCCCTGTAGTTACTTAACTTTATCCACAGCATTCTGTGTCATTGCTTATGTCCATACTAGTCTCTATTTGCTCTGTCCTGCTTCCCAGCGATGCGGCAGACACACTGATCTTGATCTTGTAAGACAGCTGAGCAAAAGGTGTGTTTTCTTCAACCTCACCCCTGGGTAGAGTCACTTATGGCCACCTCTGGTTTCTTGCCACGGACTGCTGAATTTGTCATCTACTTGTCTGTCTCCTACTCTGCATTCTCTGAATCATTAGGGACAAGGTTTGTGTCTCCATTATCTTTAGATCCCCAGTGCCTCAGGCCGTGCCGGGTGATGCTACAGTGCACATGGAGTAAATGTTTGGTGACTGACCACTGACGCGCCCTCAGCCCCGGCTAGCTGCTGGCACTTGAGCACAGGTCTTCACCGCCTGTGACATGCTTGCACCAGGCAGATCATTATTGAAGGGAATATGCATCGATGGGCAGGCTCTGAGGCCATGCTGGGGACTTCTGCCCATCCAGCACATCTGGTTTCCTCTTACAGTAATACCATCTGATGGTTTCTGAGCGTTCATTTGAGAGTATATGAGGTTTTTCCTTACTGTGTTCTGCTTAGAGGGAGCTGTGTTTCATCACTACCTGTTCCTAGTAGGGAAATAAATACCCCTGCTCTGTAAAATGAGATGTAGTATGGATTCAGCGTTATGAACTTGAAGGAGGCATGGAAAACGAGGTGTGAACTGGGCCTGCGGTTGGAAGTCAGGATGTGGTGTTCTCTCCTCCAAACAGGCTTCTCACCCACGATGACCTCACAGGGTCCGCCAGGCCCTGGCTCCTCCGCCCTCTGTTCTCTCCCAGCCGTTCTCGACCCCTCACCCCAGTGGCTGCCATTACCGATGTCCTCTGAGGATAAAGGAGCCACGGTCCCCGAGGACATCGGCCACTGTGGGGCCAGCCCCAGCCGTGGTTGTTAGGGCCCCGCGAGGGTGCTGCCCAGACATCAGCGACTTGCCTGTAAACCACCCCATGCACGTCCCAGCCCACTGGTGCCACCCTCACCCCCATTTCTTCTGCTTCCCACTCACAACTGTTAATGCACCGGAATCCCAGAATCGGCCACCTTGTCCTGCATCGAGGGCAGACACTGTCATGGGGAGTGAGGTCTCCAACGTGGTGTGTCCTGGGATGCAGCCAGGACATTGGAATCGAGTCCCTCGTCTGTGTGGCCGGGTCTAGCTGCCTGCTCGCCTGTCCCCATGACCTGTACCCTGCCTTGTGCTGCCCAAAGGGAAGGAGAAGGTCAAAGGTGATGAAAGGGACGTCTGGGTGAAACCAGTATGTGAGATAGAAAGAAGGGCCATCGGGTCTGCCTTCAAACACCCTCAGCTGTCCACACCTGTGAAAATACATGTCTGCTCCTGAAAACCTACCTAGACCACGCAGCAGGCTCTCGACTGAGTCAGTCAGCAGGCTGGCACTGGCCGAGTGTGAGGCAGTGCCATCGAGGCACCGAAAGTCAACACACAGTGGCCGTCAGCCTCTTCTTTCTCTAGAACCAAGTTCAGTTTTTGAACACCACAGTGTTCAGACACCTGATTTGCGTCCCCTTCTCCGGTGGCAGTGTTGTGATTGAACGCCCTGCGGTCGGAGCATGCGGGTCACCATGTCAGGGAGCCCAGGGCTGGTTGTGTACACAGTGAGTTACGGCCGTGGGTGCCCTGTGACAGTAAACTACAATGAGCCAGTGATAAATCCGCTTTCCAGGAGTTCTGGGGACGGCAGGGAAGAGGGCCGGCTTCTCACATGTGAAGTCCTTCTAAATCACCATGCTGACGTTTTATTTCGAGAGCGTGTGTGCCGTGCTCGCTTCCTCGGTGGCATCTGCACGCCTCCCGTTTTTTATTCTTGCATTCTGAGAGCAACTTTTCACGGAGCACGCCTCGGCCCGTGGCGGGTGCCGGGGCTGCAGGGTGCACGGCGGGACACTCTAGCTCACTGATTGCAAGTGTGTTGGTCAGGCTCTGCCGCTGCTTTCAAAACGACTGTCGTGAGACCAGCACCAGGACGGCAGTGCTGTTGGCTGGAGCCGCGTGGGCCAGGCACTCATGGCTGGAGTCCTCCGTGCCTCAGTTTCCTCATCTGGAAAGGGGAGGCAGCAGTTCTCTTCCTCACTGCCCAGTGGAGTGGCCGTGGACGACCAGGGAGAATGTGGAAATCTGTAGAGTCCGGTGAGAACGTCGGTTACGGGGGAGAACCGTCTCTCTGCCAGAACAGAAGGCCGGAGCCCCTGTGCGTCCCTTCCCCTCTTCCTTGAAATCGCTTCCTTAAAGTGGTACCATCTGCCTGCGCATCAGCATCAGCCATCGATGTGTGTGTGCCGTGCGCAGGCCAATGGGTAGACAGACACTTTTGCTGCTTGGAAGAGACTCTCTGGCCAAGATTTGAAATGCACTCAAATTGTCTTTCACGTATTCGCCTCTGTGTCTGGCATGGGGGAGGGATAAATCAAATAAAATACTGTTATTTCAGGCTTGTCTGGCCCTTACGACACTTTGCTTTTGATGTTTAGCCAAGAAGCACCACTTGCTGAGACATAACTCAGCGATTATAGACTGTTCAGCCCCTTTCTATTTCTGCTCCTGCATCTGAGTCTGTGTTCCTTCCAGGGGCCGTGAAAAACGGGACTTCTGGGCTTCCGAGGGTCTGACAACAGCCCTTAAACACCCCTAGGCATCCCTAAATTGAATGTCTAAAATAAACACAATTTTTCAAAAATGTACCTAATGAGTGTATATTAAAGTTATCAAAACAAAATAACAATGTCATGAATAAAACTTTTTTTTTTACTCTCATGATACATTTAGAATTATAATGTTGTTTATAATGTTCTTATCACTGCAATTACTTGGGGAATTTCTTTCTAAAGTCTGGGTTTCGGTAAATGCGCCATAAATTCTAACTGTAATTTCCTACCTCGGCGTGGTCTCACTGATGTTGACATTGAACGTAATGGATGGAGAGTCACCCTCAGACTCCAGCAGGACTGAGAACCTGGCTTCTGTTGCCTCAGGCTGAATCACTGGTAGGGTTGAATGGGGTCCTGCCAAGTGGTGGGCCGACTCAGAATGATAAACGTCTGTGAGAGCCTCCCAGTCCTCAGGGCTGCGCCTGTGCGTCCGGGAGCCCTGCAGTGGTGAGCTGGGTGTGTGTGAGCCCAGGAACGTGGAGGCCGCCATCAGAGTGTTCAGGGAGGAATGCCCTCCTCAAACTCAGGAGGACCCTGCATGTACAGCGGTATTTCAGGGTCACCCTGTTTTAAATGCCTGACGAGATTGGGGATCATTAAAGGGGGGGGCTGAGGTTCTTGATGCTTTTTATTGATGACTGTATAAATCACTCCCCTCTGTAAGCACCAGACTAATGGATGGTGCTGTTAACATGCTTATCTTGAAAAAACATAATCTTCTAAATTTTCCACCTCCTTGCGTAAGTAGTAATTTAAGTGAAAATCTGGTCAGTTCATGCTAAAATACAAGGAAAAGCGCACTAAGTAAGTTTAAAGTGGACAAAGATGACCTGTGAGTGCAGACTAGGTCTCCGCAGTCATTCTCTGAAACCCAGTGTTTTCAGGATGGACATCCAAGAGACGAACGGACAGGCACGTGAAAGACCTTGGACCTGGACTGTGCTCTCCTACACACCTGATTGCTTCCTGGACTGTCCATGTAGGATATGACTCCAGACTTTTACCCCATAAGGAAAATGTGCCTATACATAACATTGTTCCTAATTACAGAACGAGTGCGTGCTCGTCGGAAACTGCTGAGAAGTACGAGGGAGAAAGTTAAAGTAATCCTCAGTGTTAACACCTAGAAATAGACTGAACGTTTTACTGTAATATATATACATATATATATACATATATAAATGTATATATGTAAATGTATATATAATTTTGAATGTTCCTTTTTATGTAATATAGTGAATGTTGTCCATATGACTAATATTTTTTGAAATGTGCTTATTAGTGACCACATAATAGTTTATTACAAAGATGTACCATGACTTATGTTGCTTCCATTTTTAAATAACCAGATAAATTCTGAAATCAGTGGCCTTGTTTAGAACAGAACCTTTGGGCCCATTTCTATTCCTTGAGGGTTGGTTTTTTTCTTCTTCTTTTTTCAATGTGTTCTTGCCTCTCACATGCCCCCTACTGGGGACTTGGCTTGCAACCCAGGCATGTGCCCTGACTGAGGATTGAACCAGCGACCTTTTGGTTTGCAGGCCAGCACTCACTCCACTGAGCCACGCCAGCCACACCAGGGGTTGGTTCTTACGAGTATTTTTACTGGACCAGTGATAGTAAGAAATGTACACATTACTGAAGTACTTTCTAGAAAGGCTGCTGTGACTTAAGCAAAAACATTGACACCTTCACCAACATCGTTAAACCTTTTCCATATCATGATTGTCTGATCCAAGCAGCCAGCCCTTCCAGGGGAGGGAAGGGACACTCATGGAGCCCTGCTCCGAGCCTGGTCTCGTTTTATCAGCACATGAACCCCCTTCATCCCATTTCACAGACGAGGCAATGTGCTCAGAGAGGGTGAGTAGCTTTTGAAGGTCACACGATGCACAAATGAGGGGAGTGCTTGGGTATTCAGGTTCAGGCCGTCTGGAACCCAAGTTCATTTTCTGTCTAAACTTCCAAGATTCCCCCTCATGTAATGTTTATCATCGTCGTTGACTTTTCTGAACGAAACATGCAAGGCTTGTAGAGGACACCTGGTGCTTCAGTGGCACTTAATAAACATCGTGTTTGAGACGCTCAAGTCTGTCCCTCGCAGTGACAGCCAGGCTGCGGTGCCGGCCAGTTCCTGCTTCCAGGCGGAGAGGCCTCTGCCGCCACCCCGGGTGGGCAGCCGCCACACGGCTGGTGACGAGTGAGCGTGGGCACATGTTCACCGAACTCCTGGGTAAGGTGCTTTTTTGCCAAGGTAGACATTTTTTTTTTAATTCCACACAATCATGCAAAAATATCTCAAGAGCAAAATTAGAGCTTTGAAAGCCTCAAAGGTAAATCACAAAGACATTAACACAAGGAGAGATTTCTTTTGAAGTTATAGGTCAAGGTCTCCATGCCATTTCTACCTAATCCCAAGGGTCCTGTTGGAATTGTTGAGGCAAAAAACAGCCTCTGATGGTCGGCTGGCTTCTGTTGCAGGTGTGTGAGTATCCCGATGGCACCAAGTCTCTGAAGCTGGGCGACTTTGGGCTGGCCACGGTGGTGGAAGGCCCCCTGTACACCGTCTGCGGCACCCCGACTTACGTGGCCCCAGAAATCATTGCCGAAACCGGGTAAGGCGCCTGTGGGTTGGGTGGTGCTTTCTCTTTGGGGGGGAAAGTTTGGCTTTGTTCCTACTGCTGTGTGTCATGTGACTCTGGGGAAGGTTGGCGGGGGTGGGGGGACTATTGACCTGCACTGTAACTTTGATCTCAGAAACTTGAATTTGTGCTTCTATGTGCAAGAGCCTTGGGACCGTGGCAGTAGTAGTCCCCAAGATTGTTATCAGGTTTGGGAGAAAAACAGATGCCTTTGTCCAAAGGGCAATTCATTCATCTACATGAAATGAACAGACTGATGCTGAAAAGACCTCTTTTGTTCTCACAAAGGCGGGTACTACAGAAATGTGCAGGGTTCTGGGGGTCACCTGGTTATCTCTCTGCCCCTCCCACTGTGTTTCCCCAGCTATGGCTTGAAGGTGGACGTTTGGGCGGCTGGCGTGATCACGTACATACTCCTCTGTGGGTTCCCGCCTTTCCGAAGGTCAGTGGCCCTTTGTGGGGCAATATTTGAACTGTAAACTCTATGTCTTTGATTAGGAAGCAGATGTTTTACTCCTGGCAATGAGGACCAGAAACTGGGTAATAATATCAGTTAAAAATTACATCAACATGCCTTTCACTTTTTATCTAATTTAAAACCTATTACTGTATATCTCTTGACTTTGTATTTAATTTTAAAAGATGTATTGATTTTAGAGAGGAACGGAGAAAGAGAGATCTCTGAAAGAGAGACATTGATTTGTTGTTTATTCATACATTCATTAGTTGATTCTTGAATGTGCCCTGACAGGGGATCAAACCCATGACCTTGGCGTACTGGGATGACACTCTAACTAACAGAGCCACCTGGCCAGGGCCCTTGCCTGTGCTTCTGATGTGAGGCCAAGGCCTTAGCTTTGTGTTTGGTGCTCTTGAGTGTCTCCTGCTTCTGTGAGACACACCCATCGCCCACTGTCTTCGGTTCCCATTACCCATTATTCTCAAGGGGAGTGAGATTTAAAGATCTTTGTAAAGCAAGCTGATCTTGTAGGAAAACCTTTTTCCAACTTTTAATAGTTGTCTCTCTTACTTAACTGGGGAACAGTTTTTTTCTTTTTGTAAGAACTCATACTCTAAAGCATTCAACCTAGTTCTCATGACAAACAGAAAGCCTTTGAAATTTATTTTACCCATTCATGTAACATGTAGCGGAGTTGAATTACCAACACCTTCAACATACACAGGCCTGGGAACAGCAGATCAGGTCTCGGAGGGTCAGCATGCACCTCACCCAGTGGGAGCAGAGGTGGCCGGAGCGGGGCAGGGTGTGTCACGGGGCATGAGAACAGCTGTTACTCAGCAGTCCATGGGTGCAGCATGAGCATGGGCTTCACCCAGAGCACCTCTTTCGGTCAGTCCCATCTCATTCCTGGGAGCAAATGCATGACGAATGACTTGGAAGCCAAGGTTTACCTGGGGATGCACATTTGATTTTCTTCTGAGTTTTCCTTACCTCCCTTTTCATTGCAGTCTCTTCTCTTGTTCACTTTACTTCTGTGTATTCTAAGGTCCAGGAACCAAATGGTGAATCAGCATACTCTCTGGGGTCACAGTACTTACAGTGTAGTGTTTCATCAGTAGGGGAAAAACAGAGGTATTTCACCGCCTCCCAACATCTTATTATGAAAGGTTTCAAACATTCAGAAGAGTGGAAGGTGTTATCTTTTTGAAATGATCGATGTTCAGTTGAGCCGAACGTTTTTACCGACATGGCAGTGAACACAGGAAGGCCGCCGAGAGGCCAGTGTCTCCTTGCGGGAGTCTGTGCAGTAGAGCGTGGAGGAAGGAAGATGAGCAGAGCCGGAGGGCATGTTCTCCTGGGGGCTGGGAACCACAGACGTTTCATGGAGGATACAGCAGGTGGGGGGACCCTTGTCCTTGTAGCAGGGTTGGGTTTCTGTAGGTGGAGAGCTTTCTATCTGGCCATTGACATCATGGTCCTTCAAGGTCATTGCCTAAGTGGGTTACACAGGCTGTAGGATTATTACACATATCAGATGACACTTCCTGACTAATCAACGGCCCCAAGAGTTAGGGCTGTCAGATCTGTGGGTCAGTTGGCGGGGCTCTGGACCTGGGCTGGCCCAGCCGGGGGTGTGATGGTCCAGCGTGCCCTCGCTCACATGCCTGGCAGCTGACTCAGTGTCAGCTGGGATGACAGATACCCCTGGGCCATGTGCCTCTCAGCTTCCAGTGGGCTAGCTGGGGTTTCCCATGACAGTGGGTTCAGGAATCCCAAAAGCAGCTAGAGAGAGGGCAAGTTCCTCTACCCGAGCACTTTTCTGGTCTCTGCTCACCTTACGTTTGTTGATGGATGTCCCGTGGACCGAATGAAGTCAAACAGCTAAGCCCGCACTGGGTGTGGGAGAAGATTAAGGACGTGTACTCAGAGGTAGGGGAATCACTCATGGCCATTTTTTTCAGTCATGCTGTGCCCTGGCTGGTTTCCGTGATGGCCTGTTTTGGGAACTAGTCAAGCATAGACATTGGTGTGCTTGATAGCTGGTGATCTAGGGGCCAGTCACCGCTTAAGTCCCCTCCACGGTGGTTGGCCCAAGTGGAGACCAGTTGGAAAAGGGTATCAGGGATCGGTTTTAGAGGAATGTGTGCTCGCAACTCCCTCTAGTGTTTTCACTTGCCAGTGCAGCCTGGGAGTTTCTCCTTGGACCTAGCTTTTTACATGGAAGTAAGACTCCCATTAAACAAATAAGTGTGTGCATTGATGCCCGGTGGACAGCAGCTTCTTTGTGGGACCTGGAGGAAAGTCTAGCTGTGAAAGCGGCAAAGCTCCGTTCTGAAATCAGCGGCCCTTATACATTGTATTAGAAACTGGTTTTACCGCTTCCGACATTCACAGAAATGCTCTTTCTCTTTCATGGGTTGTGATGAAAGGGAACCTGTAATGTTAAATGCCAGTCACAGAAACATCTTCACTGCACAGGGACATTCTGGAGAGATCCCGGAACCCACTTTTAAGGCCACTGCATGTAGAGTAAATTAGGAAATGGTACTTTGAGTAACGATAAAGGACCATGAAATAAAATAAATTATCTAACCTAAGTTTGTACCTAACGTGAAAGTCCCTTCAAACAGATAACTTCAAAACATTTTCTTTGTTTCGAAACCAAAGAATTTTAACCTGCAGCCTCTTCATCGAAATTGTTCCTTGGAATTTATAGCTTCAGCTCCTTTAGTGCTAGTGTCTCTCGTTTTTATTTTTTCGGGCTTTGGTCTTGGCTTGACACGTCGCTCCCTTCAGCCTCGTCAGCCCCAGACTCATTGGCACTAGGAAGGGCACCGGTTTTCTAAGGGGGATGGACGCTAGTTGTCGCCTGAGCAAGTCTGCTTTGGGGCCACTGACAGTGAACCTATGGGTGCAGGGATTCTTTTGAGTTAGTGTTTTGGGGGGATAAATTTCCAAAAGTGGGATCACTGAGTCAAAAGGCAGTTCCATTTTTAATTTGTTGAGCTTAAGTCCATACCACTTTCCACAGTGGCTGCACCAGTCTGCAAGCACCCGTCAGTAGATGAGTGAGTAAAAACACTGTGGTACATTTATGCCAGAGAACACTATTTGGCCGTAAAAAGAAATCTTAGTCTTTGCAACAGTATGGACGGACCTGGAGAGCATTATGCCAAGTAAAATAAGGCAGTCAGAGGAAGACAAGTACCATGTGATTTCACTTATCTGTGGAGTCTAATGGACAAAATAAACTAAGGAACAAAACAGAAAGACTCCGAGATAGAGAGCAGGATGAGCGCTGTCAGGGGAGGAAGGCTGGGGGCTGGGTGAAAAGGTGAAGGGATTAAGCAAAAACAAACAAAAGCCTCAGACACAGACAGCAGCATGGTGATCACAGAGGGAAAGGGGGCATCAGTGGTGATGGAAGGAGACTTGACTCCGGGTGGTGCACACACAGCACAATATACAGATGATGTACTATAATAGAATAGCACACCTGAAACCCATATAATCGTATTAACCAATGTTACCCCAGTAGATTCAATAATTTTTTTAAAAAAGTAACATTTGCGTGACTATACTGAGACTTCACTGAAACACAGGTATACCCCATAAATGAAGTGTTCGGACAAAACTTATGAAATAGCTTACCAACGTGTTCCAGTTTTCTTGCCGTACTTTTACCTCATCTGACTCACCACTGAAAAGAAAGAATGAACGCAAACTTTTTTTGTTGGCTTTCGAGGTTTTTCTTACTGGATGTTTTTAGACTCACAGCATGTGATCCAGGGGCCACATTGTTTTAGGACACAAAAGCGCCCTGAAGCGTCTCAGCCAGGTTATAGAGTATAAGTGTGTTCATAAATCTAGCATAGATGCAATCAGATCAGATTTCCTTGTGTGACTACTGAGAAGAATAAATTGTCGAGCTTTCTTCTGTTCTAGGGAGAGAGCCGGAAACTCGCAGTTCGCAGCACGGGTTCTTCGGGTGAATTCCAAGTGCCAGGACGTTCCAGGGTTTTGTCTGTTGATTCGGGCCATGTCGCCAAGAACCAAAGCAAATATTGTAGACTCAGTTCCAACTTTTTAGCTGTTTATCAACAAAATAAAAGCCATATGTATTAACCAGATATAAGTCATTGGAGATTTCAGGGGAGAAGAAGGGAGATGAGTGGAGTGAGAAAGAGAGATGGCTAAAAGAAACAATTCTAGAAATCGGTGATTTATTCGTTGTCTTCTAATGTTAGTCTTCTGGGGTCCCCTGGTTGTCTGAAGGTTTTTGTAAAATGTCATTGTGTTTCAGGTGTGTCTTTCACTCATTTTGAAGGACATTGAGCTGAGCACAGTCAGGAGGGAAGTAGGTTGAAAGAAATCATGTGTATGCACTTAAAGAAAACCAGTTTTCAGGAGCATGGGGCCAGGGGGCCTCTTGCCTGCCTGGTTTCCTGGCCTCTGCCTCTCACGTGCTCGTGGCTGCAGACTCCACGGACCAGCGGCTGCAGATTCAGCTGGGCTTGGGGAGTGTCATGGGCAGGCACACATCTCTTGAACTCCCCGCTCTCATAGAAGGAGAATGAAGCAGACACATCATCACACGGCCTGAATTTGTCTCTAGGCACTGTCCTAACAACCGTTTCTAAGGGCACCACACTTGTCCTTTTCTGCCCTGAGAGGGCTGGTAGCATGACCAGGCTCCAGGTTCTGCTGGACCTGCCACCCAGAAGGCTGCCCCCTCCCCCTGTGAGTGCCCTGAGCAATGGGTTGGGGGGTCGAGTTGGGAGGTCCAGCAGAAATGATGTACCATTGCCAGGTGAGACTGGACTTCCACTCTTGGACTTTGACCTCGACTCCATCAGTCCCTCCTGAGTTTTCTGCCAGGGCTTTTGTAATGATGGGTTTTCACCCTGGCCATCGGCGAGCCACCAGGTGATGAGGGGCCCTGTGGCTGTGCCGATGCAGGTTTCCGGGGGCCGGGGGTGTCCAACGTGCTGAGTTTTTCCCAGCAGTGTTACAAGTCACGTCGTCATGTGTTCGTTACACACCAGCCGTGTGCAAGTGTCTCTTTGAGTGTGGGACAGGTGGGCACAGGTTGGGGACAGACACCCACCTGGGGGCCTCGAGGAGCGTTTGTCTCAACCAGTGCAATTCTGGCCGACATCCTTGGGTGGGCTGTCTCTCTCAGACCGAGCTTAACCACGAGTCAGGTTCCAGTGGGGAGTGAATCACGTCACGACTGTTCTATCCAGACTCTGAACTCCAACGTGGCCTTTTCCTGTGTTGGCTGCTTCCCTGTCTTCAGCTGTTTGGTTGGAAAACGGGCCAGAGGAAGGGCAGGGAGATCTGACTCAGATGAGCCGCTTTTCCACTCTGTTGCCTCGAGGGATTAATTGAGGGCGGAGAGTCTTTTCTGAAATGAGATTTCTATGATTTGCGGATCCTGTCTTTCTTTGTCTTTTTTATTGAGGCAAAACATGCATAATACAAAATGTATCCTTCCCACCACTTAAGTGTGCAGGTCAGTGACGTTGGCACATCCACAGGGTCGCTGTGTGACCGTCACCAGCACACCCTCCGGGCCTCCTCCATCCCCGAAGCTGAAGCTCCGAAACACTTAGCACCTTTCTCGAGTCTTCGTGGGTCAGCCTGCTCTGTCTCCCTGTCTGATTCCCAGACCCATGGACATGTCCTTGAGTTCGTGTCCAAGAGGAAAAATACGTCACCACAAATTCAGTGGGGATAGGAAATACCCCAGCCAGAGACTGGACTCCTGTCCCCCTCTTCCCGTGAACATTTTGTTGACAAACTCTGTGGTGACTTTGGCTCTTTCTCCATTTCTTTGTCCCTCACAGTGAGAACAATCTTCAGGAAGATCTCTTTGACCAGATCTTGGCTGGGAAGCTGGAGTTTCCAGCCCCCTATTGGGATAACATCACAGACTCGGCAAAGGTACCATCCAGGCATGTTTCTGTGGGTAATTGCGTCCGGGGATCCTCACTGCACGTGGGGCTCTCGGTCTGGAGCTCTGGGTCTGCCTCGCCTTCACACAGTGGTCCTTCTTCAAGTTCATTCCCTCGTAGAGTCTCTGAAACTCAATCAAATTCTGAAAGCTGGACAGGCTGTTTCTCCAGTTCACCTCGTTATCCCCCTTTGAGCCCTAACACTTGTTTACTCAAGAAATACGTACCACAGTTTGCCGGGTATAACACGCTCCCATGTATAGTGTGCATCCACGTTTTGGGCCCAAACTTTCAGGAAAAACATCTTCCGATTTAATTTCTTGCTTCAAGTTTTTATTTATTTATATTTAGAGACAACACTGATGATTCTGGTCCAGGGTATTGTTTTGCCTACAGATATCGTTATGGCTTTCCAGAGTTACACTTTTAATGCATAAGCATAAATAAAAGAATGAAAAACATATATAGATGTGGAATTAGTACTATCCCTGTATACTGTGCATCGTTATTTTCCCCTCAAAAATTTGGGCAAAAAAGTGTGCATCATACACAGCAAAATACAGTATTAGACGCCCATCGGAATGGGCGAAGGGACTGGTGAGACGTACTGACTCGCCAACAGGAGTGGCACTGTCGTGTTTGCTCGTGGAACGCTGCTCGTGGGCGGAACCCTTAGGGGACAGCGTCTTGGTTGAACGTGGCCTCAGGAGAGAGCCTCCCCGCTCTGCGGGCTGTGCAGTGAGGCCCCTGTGCCTGCAGTCACCTTGTGCACCAGGAGTGCTGGTAATGGCAGCTTTTCGGTTCAGATGACTGAGCAGCTGGGGTGCAGAGTACTTGGTGCAGACTCAGATTTCTGTGTTTATGCAGAAATCACCCCCTTTGTCTCCTCTCTGGTCTTCTCTCTCCCTTCCAGGAATTAATCAGTCAGATGCTTCAGGTCAACGTTGAAGCTCGCTGCACCGCGGGAGACATCCTGAGTCACCCCTGGGTGTCCGTAAGTACCCACGTTCCGCTTGTTCCGTGGCCGTGAGTTTGCACAGGCCAAGTTCCGCACACGTCCCAGGGCCCGTGGGAGGTCTGCCTTCGCTAGCGAGTGAGCAGTGTGAAGGTAGCTCTCGGGGGTGGGGGGGAGCAGTTGGCACCTGGTTCCTGAGTATTCAGACCTGGGCGAGTGGCTCACCCTTTCTGGGCCTCAGTTCCTCCCACTGCAGAATGCAGGGGGTGGCAGGAATGCTGGCTAAGGAGGCTTTCAGCTTTTGCCTTCTGTAGTTCTGGGGCCTGAGGGTTTGGCAGGAATGCTGGCTGAGGAGGCTTTCAGCTTTTGCCTTCTGTAGTTCTGGGGCCTGAGGGTTTTTAGGACTTTGCCTGAGATGGGCTTGTTTCAGACCCTGATCCCTCTGTCTTCATGGCACATGAAGGGGTCGGCTGCAAGAGACCTCCTGGCGTGGGTGGGAGGGTGAGACACAGGCCAGTGCAGGGCACAGAGGTGTCCTGCTGGCTAGAGTCCCCTTGGGCTTGGAGGGCACCTCTGGGTTTAGGGCAGACGGCCCCGTAACAGGGACCTCGGGAAAGTCTGCACGTCCCTCGTTCCCGGACGCTCCAGGAGCGTGAGGTTCATTGACCCCACCGAGGGCTCGTGCCCACTTGGGGCCCCCCTCTGCTCCTCTGCCGCCTTCACTGTCCCCCAGGTCCTGACATCTGGGTCCAGACTCTCTGGCTTCTGCTGAGACACATGGCCCTTGGAGCAAGTGGCCGAGATGCCACTATATTTTATGAATAATAGAGACTAACGCCGGACTGAATTCTTGATTAAAACAATAAACTACTCATTAATTTTGGTGTACTAAATTATATAGCATTCGTGCTGTGCAGGGAGGGTCTCAGAATTCTGAAGAACGTGCCCCCTGTGCCACCAGAGACCTGAGCCCTGGACCTAAGGAGCCGGGGGAAGGGGTCGGGTCTTTCAGAGGGCCTGGGGCTGCTGGACAACAGGGGTCCTCTGCGATGGGTTCCCCCAACCTCGTGGCTAAGGTGGGCCCGGTAGGAGGAGGCGGCGGTGGTGGCGGGTGGTGTGTGTCCGCCGAGGAAGAGACCAGGCAGCGTGGACATCAGTACCTCCGTGCCTGTCCTCTGCCGCAGGACGACGCCTCCCAGGAGAACAACATGCAGGCCGAAGTCACAGGGAAACTGAAGCAGCACTTCACCAACGCGCTGCCCAAACACAACAGCACCACCACCGGGGTCTCCGTCATCGTGGTAAGTGCGCCGCCCTGCCTCTGCAGAGCGGCTGTGTGTGGCCTGGCTGCTCCGCTGGCATGGGAGCTTTTCAAGGACAGAGCCAAGAGCTTCCCCCACGTGGACGCTGGCGCCTCCCTTGCCCCCCTTTCCACTGCAGATTGGCTTGGCATGGGCAGCGCCCCCACCCGGCTGACGCCCAGGCCTCGGGCCCGGGTGGGGAGCTGCACAGGTGCTGGTGAGGCCGGACCTCGGTCCCAGGCACCGAGGGGCCTGCTCTGCCCCCTCTCCTGCGGAGGGGCTCCCTGCCTACTTGGGGCTTCCAAAGTAGACTCTTGGAGGTGTGAATTACTCTTTAGAGTTTGGAATAAGGAGCAGCCCGTTAAACAAAGGCCATTTTAAAAATCAGTGTTTTGTGGCTTTTGAAAGCACAGGATGATGTAAAAAGATTAGTTTTTCCAGCGTTGGTATGAGAAGTGTTATGAAAAGTCAGTAGCAGTGATTGTGCCATAATTTCTCAGACCTTCCTTCTCCCAAAATGCTTCCGAGGCAGCTTACCTCGATCCACGTGCCCAACACATTAAAGTAAGCAGGGTGACATTCAAGTAAGTTCAGCAAAAGGAAACTGAGGGCAGCACAAAAAGTATTGAGCCAGATTTGGGGTCAGGACGCCCAACAGAGCTGCCCGGACCGGAGCCCTTGCCGAACTCGAGTCGGCCCTGAGCATCTCGACACCTGCCGGAGCCCGGCCCACCTCGGCCCTGGTCGCTGCTCTGCCCACACTGCACACAGCTCAGGGGCAGGCTGGTGAGTCGGCGGCCGTCTTCCAGATCAGGCTGCCTAGGAGTCGGCTGGCCGAGTCGTTGGCCTCTTGGCCACTGCTGATGGCACTGGGTCCCAGCAGCGCCCACAGCCACCTGGTGGCCTGACGGGCTTGTTGTGACGAGCTGGGTCCACAGCTCCATTGTTCTCGCCACTGGCTTCTCACCTTCCGGAAAGGTTCCATTCGTTTCCTAACAGCTAGACGGGAAGCGGTTGCTTGTCCTCATGCTTCTTTACAGCCTAGGAACCTAAGAACACCGGATAGAGGGTGGAGGGACACCCCCCCCCCTTGGGCCTGTGAAATCTGTTGAGAGTCCACCACCTTCTTAGCCTCCACGGGCCTGCCGTTCTCCTCCGTCCCCGGGGACGCTGTGTCCCTGCACCTCCCCGACTCCTCCCTGCCCCTGCTCCAGAGCACCTGCAAACAGGATCTTTTGACACATTTTGGGACTTTTGGTGGGGGTGCCAAAATACGAGAAGGCCTCTACAGTTGTGGTTTTCCTGGCGTTTTAGCAGCGCTCTGCCGAAAGCCTGAGCAAGTCCAGCTGACTCAGAAGCACAGCTTGGTGAGACACTTTGAAAAGAGCTGTCCCCACTGAGCCCAGTTGCAGGGGATTTGCCCCCCGATGGACAGAGTAAGGCGTGGACAGTCCGGCCATGTGCCCTGGGGTTAGGCAGTTCCTGGGGAAATTTAGAAATGCGTTATAAACTGGCACACGTGACCTGTAATGAAAAGCCTGAGGAAGAGTGATTAGTGAGAGTCAGTCTTGAATACTGTATATTAAGTTTCATAGTCTCCCAGAGCTGTGCTCAGGGCTGATGAGAGAGCTTCACCCTCGTTGCCTGGGACATCTGTCGACTTAGGGCTGGCCTGAGGCTGGTGGCCTGGTGAGGTCCCGCCCTTCTACCTCCTGGTCCAGTGCAGCCTGTGCTCTCGACAGTGCCATTCACACCCCCTCAGACAGAACTGCCTCTCGTGGTTGACAGATGGCCTTCTCCCATTTGTCGGTGGAGGTCCCCAGTCAGGGGTCAAGCTCCTAAGCTTTAGCTAGATGTTTCCATGAATGAAGAGCCTGTTGTTTGTCATTCCAGCGGTGATGGTAAACGCTGTGTGTTCACATGTATGTTCAGGTTGTCATGTTAAGCATGTCGGCAGGGCTCCGGCTAGCCCCAGGTTCCGTGCACAGCTCTGCAGGCTGTTGGCTCGGAGGAATTGCTGAGTCACACCTCAGCATCCCGTACCTGCGGGGGAGATGGGGACGCTCGTCTCTGGGGGTCCTCATTCTCCACGGCCGAAAAGCCGGCCTGCGAATTTTGGCTTGTCCCCAAAGGCAGGGGTGAGGAGGCTCCTGCAGGGACATCATGCTAACCCTCCCCCGCCCGAGGACCTGACCCGGGGCACAGTGGTGTGGGGGCAGCTGGCCATGCTTCTGTGTCATTACCCTCCCCCTCTTCCCTGTGGTTGTGTGTCTGTGTGTCCTGCCCTTGGGAACAGTTCTAACTATCTGTGTGTACACAGTAATCACAGATGAGTCTCCCTGGCACATCTGGGTCCAGCAGAAGTAACACCCACTGGAGTGTGGTTGGTGGGGTAATAATGTGGGTGCAATAATATATAGCATTAATTTGAACAGTTCAGCTAAAATGTCATGTGTGCTTGAGTGTGATATTGTTGTGTTACAGAATTACATGCTTATGGTATTGTAGTAAAAGATTGTGTAATAAAGAAAGGGGGGCGTTACTTGTGCTGAGCCCCTGTCCGTGTTCTCATAACTGGAGTGTGTGAGGTGAACATAGGTTCCTACAGGTGCTACTAGTAGTGGAAATAGTGCATCAGGGTTTGAGGCGGGTCCTCAGACAACTGTGGGGTGACCGACTGAAGGAACCTTGCTGTCCCGTCACTTCGCCGCCTTAGCCCGCCAAGGTCGGCGCCTGAGGCTCCAGGGAGGGAAATGAAAGGGTAGCAACTGCACCTCCCAGTGAGAGAGAGTAAAGCTGATGCTGTCCTCTGCGTTTCATTTGACAGTTCGATGTGGCAGTTTGAGGGAGACTTCTGAGTTTCACTCTTTACCCAGCCGAGACTCTGGGGACCCCTGAAGCAGAATTCTGGTATTCAGCACGCCGGTGCTCTGTCCCCCTCAGATCTGCATGCGTGCCTCAGGCTTCTGACACCAGCATCCGGCTAGGACCTTCTTACCAGTGCGGGTGGGTCTCCGGCGCCTACTGACATCCTGTTCGGCCAGCCAAGCACACTGCTGGAAAACCCTCTCAGCTTGCTGCACTGCCTTCCCTCGCAGGTTAAGAGCTGGCGAGTGCTCGGAAAGAGGGCTCCAGTAGACCTCTGGGTAGCTGCTGTTTTTCACTTAGGTGAAAAAGCATCTCTTTGTGAGTGACAGCATAGGACCGGTGCCTCTGTGAAGGCTGCTGTTTTCTCTCTGAGTACATTTCCAAAGATGCGTTTTTATCAGTAAGCCAGTGTAGAGCGAGCTGGCCTTCGGGATAAGAGAGGAGAATTCTGTTGGGTAAAATTTAGGTTTCCGACAGCCCCACGGTGGTTTTGGATTGCGCTTGGGTTTCTGGGACTTGCCCTTCTGCAGAGGAAAGGACCGGCAGTTTGCAGAGCAGGTTTGGTCTGTCCCCGCAGGCTCCTCCCAGCCTCGGGAACTAGACAGCGCCATCTTGTGGCAGAAAAGGGAAGGATGAGAAACCTGGTGCCCCTTGAATCTTGACGTGAGAATCCATACATGCAAATGGTGTGCTTTCCTACTCCAGGGGGATTGCGCTTCCTTGGGGGGGAAATCCGGGAATGATTCGGGCTTCATTTAAGAGAGACAAAACTGTTTTGATTGTGTTGCTTCTGTTTCAAGTAAGTCTAGTTTCTGTCCCTGCTTCTCTCCCCCTCTCTCCCGCCTCTCCCGCCTCTCCCGCCGCCTGCATTTGCTCCCCCTGAGTAGGGCCAAGGCGATGGTACGTACTAACTGCACTGCGATGCTTTGTTCTGCTGCACACGCCTTCTCCCCACAGGAAGAGAAAAGGAGAAATAACTGGTGGTTTCTTCTACCCGGAGAAATTCGTGGTAGAAAAAACAAGGCCGCCTCTGCACGTTCAGTGCTCTCACAAAGGGTGGCCCCGCTCCTCTCATACTCGGAGGTGTAGAGGCCTGTCACGGTTGGCTCTGCTCCGGCTCATGGACCGTGTTCTTGGAAATGACCGCACGCTCCCCTGGAGCTGGGACGGGCCCTAGGGAGCCCCCGTTTGACTGTGGACACCAAGTGCCCCGGAGGCAGCCATCCATGTCTGTCTTAGAAAGCCCTGTGGCTTTTCCGATTTTCTTGACTTGTTCATGTTTTCAGAGCACTGAAGAATCGCTGGCCACTCCCTGTCCCCAGAGGGTAGTGATAGTGCAAAGTGCCTCCTGACAGGTTGTGCCTTTTGGCTAAAGGTGTCTGAGAGCTGGTGGGTCTCACCGAACAATCCAGAAAAATTTGAAAGGAGTCAGAAGAGGAGAACAGCGGCCCCTCCCAGCGTAGGGTTGGAAGGGGAGGCAGTTTCCTCCTGGTTGGCGGGTTGAGCAGACAGAAAGCGTTGGGGGTGGGTCAAGGCCCAGAAGAGGGGATGGCGGAGGGTCTGAAGTGGATGACGCTGCCACACTGGGCGCCCAGGCTTCTGTGGATGATGCAGCCATGTGGGCTGCCACAGGGTCACCTACTGACACTTCTGTGACACAGGCGTAGCCTTCCCATCTGTGATGGAGAGCTGTTCTAAGAAAGTTCTTCAAAACCCTAGCATGGTTTGCTTGTTGAACAGGATTCTTGGGGCTCAAGGGCTGGGTCTGGCAGGAAGCACTCAGGACTCAGGCACAGCTCAGAGCTCGAACAGAGTCGCCTGGGGCTGCGGTCCAGGGCCGGAGCCGCCGAGCCAGGGGCAGAGGCCGGGCGACCTGGGCAGGGGTGGGTCCTCGCAGCTCGCCTCGCCCTGAGGCCCCTGCTGGAAGAGAGGCCAGTGGTTATTTCTCCTCTTCTGTTTCTGAGCCCCGTGCATGCTCCGTGGTGCGCTCCGTTGGGGTAGCTGGGCCCCGGCCACCGGGCTGACGCGTTGTCTCTGCTGCTCTCTCCGCAGAACACGGCTCTAGATAAGGAGGGGCAGATCTTCGGCAGCAAACCCTGTCAGGACAGCGGCCGACCCTTGGTGGAGCCCTCCTGTCCAGTTCCTCCCTGTGCTGAGGAGCCCCTGGTGCCAGGGCCGGCAGCCCCGGCTCCTGCCCCGCCGCAGTCTCCCACGCCCCCCTGCCCTCCCGCTGCCACGGGCTGTGAGCGGGCAGGGACCTGGCGCCGCCACCGTGACTGATGCTGGCAGGCAGGCCAGAGCCTGGACGGCCGGTCCTCAGGCCGCCACACGACCCGGTTCACGGCCTGGGCTGCGCCCTCCAGTTCCCAGGGTGTCACATGCAGCCTCAGCCTTGGTGACAGGTGTTCAGAGCGGCTTGTTTTCAATTATCTTACTTTCGGTTCAACAGACATTTTACAGTGGCACCAGGAGAATGTGCAACTTTTTTCCAGGATTTAATGCATTTTTCTAGAAACACTTCAGATGAGCCAAGACCTCTCCCTTATTTAAAGAAACTCGGAGCGCTCCCTTTTTCTTACAAAGAACTTTGAACTGCATCTGCCCCTCGGCGGGTGTCCTGTGAAAGGTGACGTGGCATCTTCCTTGGTGGACGGGGTTGGAGGACTGGCTTTCCACCGGGAGAAACGACGTGGAGAGACAATCCGGCCTCCGCACTGATCCCACCCAGGGTCTGCTAAGGGCTTCCGGGCACTGCCACGCGGCCCCGGGTGCTGGGCTCACTGCAGACAGCACAGGGCATCTGTTTGTGCACGGACCGCAGGGGAGGGAGGGCACTTTCTCCCCCAGACATCGTGTGTTTCCTCCCAACTCTCCCACATGTGAATTAAGAATGCTGACGAAGCCGTCACCTGGGCCTTTTTCCTGAAACGGCCGGCGCAGGCGGCGTCAGCGGCATCAGCTCTAGCGGAGCAGGATGGCCCGGGCGTCCGCAGCGCTTCTCTCCGGGGCCGCGGACACCGCAGCCTGGGAGACCGCAGCAGCAGAGGCCCTGGGCGAAGGTGCTCCGCAGACCCCTCCGTATCACCCTTCGGAAGGCTGCTGGCAGTTTTCCCTGTTTTCCACCACTCTGCTCTTTTTAATGACTGTACATAGTAGTGTTTGTCCTACCTGCTCGCCTTCTAAACCGGCGGGCCCTGTAGTTCCTTTGCACTGTTAGATTTTTTCCCCACATGTGTACCCGACCTGCAATAAACTCTTATTGAGAAAAAGGAGTCGGGTGGGCAGAGGTTTCTGTCTCCTTTTTCGAAGGGTGCGTGGTCATGGGCCCAGGTGCCGGGATGTTTGACAAGTCCTGGGGGCTGCTGGGGGAGGAGAGAATGGTGCTTGGGGAGTGTCTTCTTGGAGGCTATTCGATTACAGGTGCAGCTACACATGCCGCAGAGCTGGACAGGGGTCGTGGACATGCGACGGATCTTACAGCAGCCACGGCAGGAGCTGGGGTAGGTGTCCCCTTGTCTGTGTCTGCCTCTACCCGGTGGTGCACCGCCCCCCACCCGCGCCCTGCTGAGATTGTGTGGTCTTCTGTCTCTGCTTTTGGGAGTTTTGGCCTTTTTTCCTGTTCCCTTGTGACGTCTGCTTGCTCACCTGTCCCCGATTCCTGAAGGCTGAACAACCCCAGGGCTCGAAGCCGTCAGTGTGGCCCTGGATCTCGTACTTAAACTTCTGTGCAAATGAGATGATAGTGGATGACTTTTCTCTGGGCTGGTGCTGACCCTGCATCTGCAGGCCGGCTGCAGACACAGGTGGGCTCCCTGGTCCACAGCTGCAGCCGCCGCAGCTTCTGGAGCAAGGCAGTTTCAGCTAAGCTGTGGTGGGCTGCCCAGGAACCATCTGCTCATCTCCCTCCTCCTTGAGCGCCCAGAGAGCCAGGTTTTTCAGCTTCCAGTGGAAATGCCTTTGTTGATGGAGGGGAAGACAATGTGAAGGTGGGGGGCAGGAGAATGAAAATGGTGATGGAACAAGGCCTCCGGCACTGGCCAGAAACCTGAAACCTGACGCTGTCCTTTCCACCGTGCGAGGTCCAAAGACATTTGCTAAAAACTTAAGGAAGTGGGCAGTCAGCGGTGACAGGATGAAGGAGCACCTTCTTTCTGGCACCTGCTCCCACCCTCCATGCCACAGTTGGATGGCCTGGGACCAGGTGGGGGTGGGCGTGGACTAGAGAAAGGAAGTCACACAAACCAGGTGGGGCGGGGCCCGGGGCAGTTCTTAGGGAACAACCTGCACCCCACAGATACCGAGAGCACCATGTGGAGTGAGCAGAGCTGACCGAGTGAGAAGTTAGGGGATGTGACCCAGGCCACAGAGTTGGCAGGAGACAGCGCTGTGATGCTCTTGAAGCCCCAGCGCCAGAGCCTGTGCTGTGTGGAGGCCCCGGTCAGCTAGGGGCAAATCCAGGTCACCTGGATAGGGACAGTCCGCCCGCCCATGCACTTGGTGATCATGTATTGCTCTCCCCCCTTCCGTATGCACATCAAATACAGATACTTAATGCTGGGCCCTCTGCTTCTGCATCGTGAGGCTGCCGTGTGCTTGTCTTATGTCTGTTTCTTTCCTTGAGCAGGTGATCAGCATCTAAAGACCTTGATTGACCTTGGGAAAGGGGTAGAAAAGACAAGCAGTGACCTGCCGGAGCCGTCTCGAGGCCCAGCAGTTGAGCCAGGAGCCTGTGAGCATGTGTCTCTTCGTGGGGGCCGCTGTGACGTGGGAATGTGCGGAACATGTGAATTAAAAGTGTTCAGCAGACCCTTCCCGGAGTATTTCCGTGGGTCGCCGTGTGGTGTGGGAGGCAGGAGGGAAGCAGCCCGGCCATGTTGGCAGGACGGCTGCGGACGGACACAGCACCGAGTTGGAGAGAGGCGGCTAGGGCAGCTGGCCGGCCCACGGGGGGAGAAAGTAAGCTACGCAGTTCGCCGTTTTCTGGTGCCAGATCACAAAAAGTTGAGAGAGGAACAGGGGAGAGTAACAGTATCATGTTTTATTTAACGCGATATATCTAAATACATTCCAAAGCATTATTTCAGCTTGTCATCAACATTTAACCACCCCTGGGATATGGTACGTTTTCCGAACTAAGTCTTTGAAACGGGTGTGTGTTCACGCTGAAGGCACATGTCGGGGTGGGTGAGGCTCATTCACGCCCCGATGGCCGCCCCTGGCTGTGCTGTGGCTCTTCAGAGAGGCCTTGGCCGCCTCTCTGTCCTCACTGCTGTGTGGTTCGTGCCCCTGACGTGAACAGTGACATGGGGAGCAGGCTGCTCTGCTGGTTTAAGTGTGGAGTGGATGGAATGATTCCAACACTTGTGCAGACGAAGCACCTGGTGTCTGAGTGTGGGCTGTGCCCGTGGGCCGTGCCGGACGCGGAGGGTTCAGTGGTCGCTGTTTCCTTAGATGCCGACAGAGTGGTATACACGTCGGCACCGTCCTAGGCCGCACTGTGAGGGGCGTGTGCAGACTGTGGCAGTGTGACGCGGCCTTCCTGGGTATGAGCTGTGTTCTGGGACCTCCAGGTGTGCAGTGCTGGCCACACAGCCACCCCCAGGGGGCAGCTGGGTGGCCAGGGGTTCAGAGCGCTGGTGACCAAGGGCTGGCTGGAAAGGTGTTAGGGGAGACCAGAGGCACATCCGCTAGGTGTGTGTGGCTGCAGAAGACCTGCTCCGTAGCAGGGGCGCAGACTTCACTTAGTGGCTCTGGAGGGCGGCCCGAGGTCAGTAGGTAGGAGTCCCACAGGGTCGGGTGTGAGTGTGGCATCGGAGGAAGTCTGATCGCAGGGCAGTCAGTCTGCTGGTCTGGTGATGGAGTGAGCTGCTTTGCAAAGGAGTGACCACCTGGTTCTTGGAAATGCCTGGATGCCGACTCATCAGCACCACAAACATCAGCGTGCGGAGTATTGCATCCTGCCTCCTTTGAGCCGCACCACAGGCCCCGAGAGGAAGATGCTCATATCCCCCTTCATTAAATGCGACACTTGGACTGGCTGGAGCTGGGGCCGGCCCTCCACGCTCCCAGGGCAGCTGTCCTGCGGGCTGGGCTGCCCCTCCAGGTGCTTCAGAGGGATTGTTTTTCCTGTAGGGTAGAGGTGGGACGGGGCGGGGAACACACCCGGCAAAGTGGTAGAGAATTGAGGGGCTAAGATGCTAACAGCTGGGGAGAATAAGGGGTCTCTCCAGAGGGAGACCTGTGTGGATGACTGTGGTTAGCCTTGTCCGGGGGGTCTGAAGGGGCCGCCTGAAGGTTGAACCTGTGGCCCCAAACTCCAAGGCAGTTAGCAGGGGAGTTGTCACCACTGAATGGCTGCAGGGAAGAAAGCGGTGTGTTTGGTAAGGCAGTGGTCCTCTGCAGCTGGCACACCCCTTCCCAAAAATAATTCCTCTCACTCGGGGCTGAGCTGCGCTCCTCAGGCCTCCGGTGTGGTCAGGGTGGGTCCAGCCTGCTGGCTCGGCCAGGTGAGTCATGAGCACTGGGCACCTGTCTGTGATGAGTTCGAAGCTGCAGAGCGGCCAGCTGCTTCCTGCCAGGTCTGAGGCAATAGCAGCCTTCCCAGCTCCCTGCAGATCTTGGTTTTGGCAAGAAAAATATTCCTGAAAGACAGAAAAATAATTCTCATCTCTGGCTGCTGCAGCCTCAGCCTTCTTCACGGGTACATCTGTAGATTGCCTCCTGCCCTTGCGGAGCACCCGGCCGTCTCGGGAAGACAGCTTCCCAGGGCGCTCCGAGTTTCATTAGAGAGACAAATGCGACGTCCCTTGGTGTGAGCCATCTGCATTTCCGGTTCACAGCAGCCAGGGCTGGCAGTGATGTGTCAGTGTCACTAATAGTGGCCTGGAGCTTTTTAAATGGTGATCTTGTGACTTTGGGGGACCCGAGAAATGCATCATGGGCTACACTTTTCTAGTCTAAGGGAATCCGAAAGATGTTTCTCCTGATCATCTGTAATAGAAAACTATTTTATTTAATTTTATCGATTTGCTGTTGACGGCCTCGCCCTTCCTTTTCGGGTGGACGGTTGGAAACGTCCCAGCTTCCCTGCAGTGATAACGTGACCCCTTCAGGAGGAATGAGCGTCCTTCCACTTGGTGCCACAAGGGACACGGCTCATGGGGCTGGTCACTCTCCCTCCTCAGTGGGGCAGGTGGGCGTAGCCACGTGGAGGCACCAGCGTGTGTGCTGATACGCCTGGGTTGCACAGGTGTTGAGATTAAGTGGTGTGCCCTCTGTTCTGTGCTTGTGAACATGCTCTGGCCCAACGTGATGTTCTGTGGTGACATGGGGCTATGAGGCCCGTGGCTACTCCACGACCCTTCCAGCTGCTGCTTGTCGCAGAGGGAGCCATATTGTCGGTCTGCTGTGCTCTTTAGCGGTGACGCAGCAGGAAGGACCAAGCCAGGTCCATGAGCTGCGTGGCTCTCACTTGAAATGGTGACCACAGCCAGTAAAATGTACTGATGGCACCTAGTGAGAGTCTCTCCCCTCACATTCCCGTCTTGGTAGATCCATTACATCATCTGTTTTAATTCACCTGCATTTGCTGAAAGGGTGCAGCGTGCATGGGTTCCCTGGCCCCCTTCTGTGAACTTGACCCAGATGACCTCTGCAGTCTCACCGGCCCCCTGACAGAGAGGTGGGAGGACACAGCACCAGGTATGTGTGGTCAGGCTTTGGCCCTTCAGCTCTGCTCTTGGAGCTGAACGGGAAGGGCAGCCCAGGGCTGCAGGTCCCACACGGATGCCTCAAATCTCATCCTGTAAGCTCAGCAAGAGTTGAAGTGTGATGTTACCCCAGGGCCTCAGGGGTTCCTGTGTATTGCGTTACTGTATGAGAATGTTTGTCCGTGGGTCTGCTGCACTTCGGGACTGAGATGCTCCCCTCTGAGTGACCCGTCCACCATCTGTGCTGCTGTGCTCGTCCGACATCCACCTTCTGTTGTCCAAGCCCTCCCGCTGCCCTGCATTCCAGGGCCTCAAGGACTCGACGGGCAGAGTTTCAGAAAGAGTGAGTACCGCCAGGGAGGGAGGTGTTACTGCCTGGAGGCCGTGCGCCGCCGCATCCCCTGCCTGAGGTGGTTTTTCCTGATTGGCTTATGCTTATGCTTATTAAAAATGTGGTTTTTTTTTTTTAAGAACAAAGTTAAAATTGAATGAATGTTGAGTAAACCCTACCAAACACGGTACTACATTAGATTCTATCATTAGGAAGCTCTTGTTGATGCTAGCTACATTTGTTACCTGAAAATTCTGTTAATTTTCTATAGTTCTGATTTTTAAAAGCAATATAAAGGCAACAGAGGTAGTTGCTTTAGGCTTGTACTATGGGATAAAGTATCATGTGCCCAGCATGTGACTTAGGTATTCCTAATTTTTTCTCCCATTTTCCCTAAACTTCCAAAGTACAAGACCACAGGTTAAAATCCAGGGGATGTTAAGGGTTACATTAGGGGGATATCTGGCTAATTTACCAGTGACAGGGCAGCTCCTCTTCTAAGATGTCCTTTACCATCTCTTGTTTTCCTTTAATGGGTTACAAAGCCAGGGCGGGTTTTAGAAGACTCAGGATGCAAAGTTCCTTGTTGATCCTTTGGGAGACAGACGCTCAGAGTTCCCCTCTGCAGGGCCTGAAAAAGCGGGTGGGGCCGAGGAGTCCTGTTCCCACCCCACCCCCACCCACCAAGGGTTTTTAGTCAAGGTCTCTCTCCTCTTGGTGGTGGTTCAAACTGTGACTTAGAGTTGGATGATTTTTTTGTGAATAATTAAGTTTTCTGTCAAACGGAGCTGTTCTCTCCACCCTGTGTTTTCAGGGAAGCGCCGAGAGGCAGACACGCAGAAGCGGCTGCCACGGAAGCCGCCAGAGACACGGGAGGGATGCCCAGGTTCACAACATACAAAGAATTTTATTTATGCGATACAGACCTTTTCTCAAATATTTTTCACGAAATCCACACAGCCATCTACTAGAAAAGTAGAATTACACAACAGCAAAATAACATTGTTTCTCAGTACAAATTGCTAATTGAAAGGGCAGGGAAGCTAATTTAATAACACGGAAGGGAAAACAGGTGTTGCTTACGGCAGCCTCTGTCCGCAGGCCCCGGGGCGGGGGCAGACATCGGGGCGAGCTTTTTGGTACTTGCAACGTAAAGGAAAATGCGTGCCGTGAGCCCAGGGCCATTTCCATCATTTCATTCTGCTGCACTGTAACGAGGACAGGTCAGAACACTGTCAATACTTCACACTCGCTGTAACATTGTAGCTCTTTCATGTTACCCACACAATAAAATGGCTTCCCTCAAACGGTAATTCTCTAGGTCTAAAACATGCTTGAAGAAGAAGAGATAGAAATAATTCACTGAGATGTTTTAAATTACATTTATCATAATTTAAACATTACTATTTAAACCCCAGAAAGTTCAGTGCTTAAGAAGCACAATTGTTTGGAAAAACACGGGACCCAAGTACAGCATCAAATCCCCGTCCCGGGATTAGAACCCACTTCCCAGTGATTAAAGTCACTTATCTCACAAGATTACAGATGAGTGGGAAGTGTTTTTCATAACATAGCTAGAAGAAGTGGTTTTACTCACTCCACTGTATATTTCCATAATTGGTGAAAATAGATTTCTCATTATGACTAAAAATAGAGATTTTTTTAAAACTACAGAGCCCAGCAGCCAGTTTTCTGCTTTGCTATATACCTCCCCCCCAAAGTCAAGCAAAGTCTACAAAAATAGCAATTAACTTTAAAAAATATCTTGCTTCTGAGAGCAAATTTAAGTTACATTCAGAGGTGAGAGCTATCTCTAAGAGAAGGGTGCCCAGGGCACCCCCTGTGGAGGCGGCCGCTGCCCGGCGTCGCCATCAGTAGCGGGTCTGGTACTCGTGGTGCCAGCGGTTGAAGTCGTTGTAGAACACCACGATGCTTCCTGAGGCCATGCCGGAGATGATGCACCTGGGGGAGGCGGAGAGAGGGCGGGGCTTATGCACCTGTCTTTCTCCAGGCATCTGTTACTGAAGAACCAACTGTGCTCCCCGGGTCTGTGCAGTGAACATGGAAGGCGCGGGTCAGAGCGCCATGTGTGCGAGTGAAGGTGTGGCTCTTGGTGGCTGCAGCCCCTGCTGTCCTGTCGGGCAAGGAACCCAGCCGCGGCTGCCTTTCTGTGCAACTGCGGCCCCTGTGTGCAGGGTGAGTCAGTGAAACCTGGTGGGCTGGGCTGGGGAGCTGCCGCCGCGTTAGGCTTCAGAGTCCAAGGAACGGGGTCCAGTCTCAGTCACTGCTGGTGGGGGGCGTCACTGACGTGCAGGGAGTCAGGAGGGCTGTGTTCACCACGAGCTGGCGGGGTCTGTTGGGAGCTCAGTTCAGTCCCTTGCGCCCTGAGCAGGGCCCAGTCCTCACCGTACAATGACTCACTGGGGTGACCGGTATGGGCAGAGGGGGCTCTCGGAGCCACTCAGGCCACAGCCTGTTCTCCTAGCCGGTCTCTGGCTGTGAGTGCTCAGTGGTGCTGTCAGTACCCTTCCTCACACCTCAGACCAAAGCTAGGAACTGAAATGTGTCCCCACACAGAAGCTCTGAGACACAGAAAGCAAATACACAGTCAAATGGCAACAGTCAGTCATGACTGTCCGTGTGAACAGACTAAATACCCCAGTCAAAAGGCAGATGCTGGCCGAATGGGTAAAAATCCTGACCACAAGCACGCAGGACATCCTGTCCACAGGAGACTTGTTAGCCCTGAGGACACAAACAGGCCGCGGGAGAAAGGGCGGAGAGGGACAGTCCCTACGGACAGTCTGGGAAGGACGGCTGGGTGGCTGCACTGGTGTCAGAACCTCGGATGGCAGGCCGTGACACTGGGCATCCACAGGAAGCTCGGTCGTGGAGAAGCTGCACCAGCGTTCTCCATGCAGACACGGTGGGGACGGCTCTGGAGCCTCTGAGTGTCCTTAATGCCACTGGACTGTAGCCCAACAAATGGCTTCAATGGTAAATTTTGCTACCACACAAAAAAATGAGGGACTATATATATATATATATCAAGAGGAACTGAGGCACCAGATAAAAATGACCACCCCAAATTTACCACTCGGGAGCTTTTGGGAAATGAGCCCGATCTCTCAGTGCAATCCCACGAACAGGGATGCAGGCATTCTATTTCAGTGCTTAAAATGTCATTAAGAAACAGGCACGTTAAGAAATACAAAGAGCTTAGTGGCAACGTCCCTGGAGCCCTTGTCACCCCCGTCTTGTCTAACCCGGGGGAACTCGGCCTTTGTCCGCGGCAGCCAGGCCTTCAGAGAAAAAAACCAACTTGGCAACAAGTGTCCTGGAAACCCCAGCATTCCTGGCGCCCTGGCTGCACAGGTGACCCTCACTTCCCCTCTGTGGTTCGTGTCACCACCCTCCGTGGCCCACCAGTCCCACATACCTCTGGTCGTAGGACAGGGCCATGGCCCGGATCCCAGCATCGCAGCCTGGGTAGGCGAAGAGCTGCTTGAGGCCGGACACCTGCCAGACCACGGCCACGCCGCCGTCCCCTCCGGTGAGCAGGTACTGCCCGTCCCGGCTCAGCTGCATGGCCTGCGGGGAGACAGAGTGACGGCCTGGTGAGAGGGGGCTCTCGGGAAGCTTCGACCAAGTTTGAGGACTTCTACTCGAGCAGCTGCTGCAGTGTAGGTGGGGGCAGGGGTGCTCCTGAGTGTTTAGGAAATGAGGAGTCATGGGACATTTTGCCTTTCTTTCAAACCCAGAGTTAGGCTGTGTGTTGTAGGCTGGGGCCTCCCAGCACCCCCACAGCTGTCCTGGGGACAGGTGAGCACTTTGTACCCCGGCTGCTGTCCCTCCGGGCTGCGGGCACAGCACTGGCACCTTCGCTAGGCCTGCAGGAGTCCTGCAGCCAGAGAGCCCCGCCTTCCTGGGTACGGGCTCCCCAGGTCAGGCACATTCTTCTAGCCTAGGACTGACCGCCGGCCACAGGGCAGGCAAGGGACTTGTTCTTCAGTCCTGTAAAATGGGCCAGTGGCAGACCAGTGCCTGTCTTTATGACTTCTCCTACATTTTTTTAATGTTTGAAAAAGATACTTCATGACAGCAAAAATTATATAAATTCTAGATTTCAGTGTCTGTATATAAGGTTCCTGGAACAGAGCCACCCCGCTCACTGACAGCGACTCCCACACACTTGTGACAGAACAGAGCCCGTGGAGCCAAACAGTCCCCATTTGCCCCTTACCGAGACCGTGTGCCCACCCCCTGCCCCATGAGCCGACCGCAACAGCCTTCCCCTCCGTAGCTTTTCCTGGTTCAGCGAGGGGACGTGGGACTTGGAAAAGCTACAGCAAACATCTGTGATCTTACGTCCACTGTGGGAACACAGACTGCTAGCAAGCCAAAAAATAAGTCTAACTTCTGATAAATGTACTTACACTTCCAAGAGTTTTAGTATGGTTGCCGTAAGTCTTCCATCTACCTTGTGACAAACTTTTTTAAGTCATAGAGAAGTAAAGATTGTCTCATAGCCATTCAAGTCACATAAATGCCAACTTTTTTTTAGTGGTTGCTTAAATGTAACTTATTGTCAAGAATACGCACACACAAATCTAAGAAATAAAAACCCATGTGTGGAAGATAGTTGCGTGTGAGGATTCCCTGAATCTAAACTAAACGTAAACAGGTTTCCAATCCATCGCCTCGTCGGCCCTCCATTTGACAAATGGCGATCTCTAAGGGGTGTCTGGGAATGGCAAGGATGACTGGGACTGATAATTATTTGCTACACTTATAAAATTCAGCTGATGAAAATCCATTGACCTTCTGGTTATGGTTCACTTGAGCTTTATACTTCAGGCTTTTTACTGGGTAAGTGCTATATTAAAACAAATTAAAACCATTAATCTTTACCTCTGTGTTTCAGTATACTCTAACCCTAGTTCTGTTTGGAATTACGTTAAACCTGGACTTTTATCAGCCTCCAAAACATCTGAATAGGGCAGATGCCTGCCAAGGTGGAAAAGCATTTTCTCGGCCTTTCTCCCGAAGGACCTGTCAAATCCTCCCGAAGGCAGGAGCCAGGGCATCATTTCCAGAACAGCATCCCCTCCTCCAGCCAAACCTCACTCCCAGAGACATGGATGGCGGCGCTGGACGGGTGGGCTGAGACGAGCGACTTCCAGATGCCCTCGGAGCCGCGGTCCCCGCTCCCTCTGACGCCCCAGTGCTGTGGGGCGGCCTCGTCAGGACGCACAGTAAGGAAGGCTCCCGGCAGTGGGCCCTGCAGTCTGGGGCCTCTGCTCCCATCTCCCCTCATTCCCTTCTCCATCCTCTCCCTGCCAGGCAAGCTCACTAATCACACAGGCCGCCACGTCCTAGTTAGTGTGACAAGTACAAGGGTGTTGGGGGAAAGGCAATGGATCGTTTGAGCCTACAACCCGGTGGGAAACATTAGAGGGAAAACAGCGGTGGGACGGGGGACACCGCGTGCACGCACAGACTACAGCCGGCTTCCGACTGCGGCCTCGGCACGTCCCCGGCCCGTGGCACTGGCATGCCACAGAAATTGTTTGAGCCGGCGAGGGAGTTCAAATTATTTTGCAGATTTATTAGCGCAGCTGACAATATAATCGCAACTCAAAGTGACAGATGATCAACATTATTATTCTAAAGAGGAAAGGAAAGCCCTCCGATGTGTAGTTGGTTTAAATGAAGTGTTACGGGAGGAAGGGAGAAACCAGCCGAGCCTGGTGTCTCTGGGCGCCTGAGGGGAGGGTGGGCCCTGCAGTGCAGAACGGCTCCCGGGAGAGGAAGCAGCCAGGGCCTCTGAGCATCACGTCATCGACACTTAGGGATTTTGTTCCGGCCCTGGTTTCACCTCAGAGAAGG